TTCACGGCTGCCAATTCCTCTTTCGCCCCGATATCCAATTTAATTGTGCGAACCTTTTTTTTGGTCTCCTTCGTTGTGTTTGTTTGTTGTCGTTAAATTATTAAAAGTCACTCAGGAGCAGGCGGTAAATTATTAGGTTGGGTTACGGCTTGAGCGGGCGTTGTGGGTTTTTTTTTTATCATCGGTGCAAAGGTCGGGGTCCACGGTGATGTAGCGGATGTGGATGACGGTTGGCTGAGTGTCCGCGCCAAATGCGCCGTGAAATCCCATTAAGGCTTCATCTCTGCTGTGATTCTCATTCATACCCAGCACCGCGCCCCAGGACCCCGGGCCTCGGGTTATTGTGTAAACAATTGAAAGGGATGTGCTCACAGCCAATTTCTTTTTTAATTTCCCTTTGAAACTATGCTGGGCGGGAGAAAGGTTCGACACGTATTCTTCACAATTCTTGTCATTGTCGTAATCATCATCGTCGTTGGCGTAACGGTAATAATTCATCGATGGTAATTATTTCTCCGGAGTTGGCATAAATGAGCACGGGTTATGAGGCTGTGTCAGCGTTTTTGGAAATCGGTGGTGGTTATCCAGTGGTGATGCGCCCCCACATTCTTTAAAAATAATTGTTTTTTTAGAAACAAATTCTGTCATGAGGGAGGACCTTTGAATAATCACCTGTCAATTAATTTACGTTCATGAAAATCACTCTTGTTGACCGCAGGCCCAAAACGCCAAGGGGTCAGCAAACGAACACCGTGACTGAAGTTGTAATAGATAAAAAATAATGTGTACGTTTCTTTTATTGAACGTGGCTTGGGAAAAGAGAACCGTGGGAGAGAATTCCAAAGTAGAACAGCGGCAGGGAAGAAGCAGAAAGGGAAGAGTTGGTCGTGACGCGCGGTACGGCAGTTGAACACAATTGCCGATATACAACGCGGACGTTGTTGGGAATTCGACGAGTGCACTTTGACGGGCAACTAAAACACATTTTAATACACCTCCATTTCACGAGCGCGCAGGAGAAAAGCCACGCTCCCGCGCGAAACCCACCGACGGAGCTGACCCCGCCACAGGGCAAATGAGTGGCGCGCCGACGACGTGCGGCAGCCCCCCTCCCCCAACTGCGGCGCGAGCGAGCGAGGGGTGAGGGCCCTCGGTGATGGAGAGCATTCTTGGGATTCCGTGGGCGATTTGTCACCAAGTGGCGGCGGCGCCGCCACCCACCCACTTCCGCGTGATTGTTTCGTCGGGGTTTTTTTTTTGTTGCACCGCCCTAATTGCGCGGCAATTGACGCAATTACCACATCGGTGGGGGGGGGGGGCACGCGACTTCCTCACGAACGCGCCGTGATCTTTTAAAGCGGCGCGTAGAACGGCCCTTTTGTTTCCCCCCTTAATTTTTTCGGCCCTTTCGCACAGGCAGCTTTTTTGTGCAAACTTAATTAATTTCCCATTAAGCGTTTGGGTAAATAAACGACAGTGTTTTCACGAGGGGGGCGGCATGGGGTTTGTAACACTTCAGAGCCGCACGCTGTTTATCGCTTCGGCTTTCCGTGCGTCAGAAGTTTCGGTGGGTTGAAGCGCCCACGTAATTCGACCGTTGTTGGCGTTTCTTTGGCCTCGGGTAACGCTGTAAACACTTTACGTAAAAGTGCGCGCAATTAGAAGGGGGAGAGAGAAAAAAGAGTTGCGTTCATTCATTAATAACTTAAGACAACAAAAACACAAACCCGTACGAATTAAAATGGTGGCTTGGACGCTCGTTCCCCCCCGCCCCCCTGCGAGATGCCGGGGGGCTCGGTCCGACGGATTCGCGGTGGAGGCCACGGGACGTAATTAGAGGCCCTGTTTTGTAGGCTTGACGCTCAAGGTTCTGCTGCTCTTCTCGTTTCAGCTTCATTAACCCTCCAGTGAGCCGCATTACAAAATCCGAGCACCGTCGCTCCGGCCTTCACCTCCTTTACCCCTCCCCACCCCCACGCGAGCTCGCACGTTGGACGCGTACACACTTATGCTCGATACTTATAAAAGTTTCAGAGCCGATGGTGGTGTGCATAGGAGCAGCGTTAATAATGCCCCGTGCCATGTCCCACTGCCGTAATTAAATATTAGTAATTCATGGGTCTGTCAGGTTTATGCGGAGAGTTGTTGAACCTAATGGAGATTAATAGTTGGCGTTGGAGACGTCATTTTTCTCCATTACCAGGTCGGCGATCTCGTGCCACGCGCGTCGACAGGAATTGATGGGTAACATTACGGCGGAGGAGTATCTGCTGATAATTGGCAGGACCGCGGCCCCTCGTTTTACATTACGGGGGGGGGGGGGGGGGGGGCACTGCTCAAAGAGCTCTGAAAAATTACGGCGCTGGAATTAAACGCGTCCCGCTGAATGTCGGGCTGCGACGCCTACAGCCCGGGCACGGGGCCGACTCCGCCGCCGCCGGCACCGCCGCTGTCGTCGACGCCGTTTTTGCCGCTAAGAAAATGGGGCCGCCGTGATGGCGTGCCGACTGCCGTTCAGACGCCAAGTGGACGCCCCCCCCCCCGGGAGGTGATGGTGCTGTCGAGATGTTGTCTCGTGTGCCACCGGAGATGGGTCAGGCAATACGGGCGCCGCGGTGCCTAAGAGATGTTAACTGTGCAGGAGGTCGTGGGTTCGATCCCGACCCTGACGCCTGCTGCTGTATATTTGGAGTTTTCACTCTCCCCTTGGTCGCGTGGATTTTTCTCCGGGCCCTCCGGTTTTCCCCTCCACATTTAGAATCAACATCACGTGTCTAAGAGTATTTGGCTGCTATTAACATGATAAGCCACTTCGTTGAGCTATTATTTGTGATAGCCAGGTCGCTTCTGAAAAATAGCCATATAGCTCGGTGGGCCTTACCTGGTGAAATTCATGGCCGATATGCGGGAGAAAATTTATGGACAGATCTTGCAAATATAGTCGTCGAATGCTATACTTAAAAACAATCAAATATCCAGTATATTTAAAGCTGGTGAATTCACCAATTATTATTTTTTTTACTTAAAGCAAACGGTTAATAGTTTCTGACATTTGTTGAATCGATTAGAGTAGCGACTCGATTGAACAGAAATCGAAGTTCGTGGTGCCTTGGCGATGGGTTTCTGACGGAAGGTGCCAGGTAGCAAAAAATTCACTTCCGAGCCTCGACCAGCCATGCCGGTCGAGGCTCGGATCTGATTACAGCTCGATCTGATTACAACTCGATCTGATTACAGCTCGATCTGATTACAGCCACGAGGCTGTGGCCGCCCCGTCAGCCTGGTCGTCGTCCACTCAGGGGAGGTATCTCTACGTCCAGAGGGCCATGATGGACAGGGTCGGCCGAGCGGAAGAAAAGAGAGCCCATTGCTCATCGGCATTGGACTTGCCCACCGGGGGAATTCTCTTCTCCAGCTGCCAGTTACCTTCCTTCCTTCTCAGCCGTGGACGGTTTTTGATCCCGGTGACGTTGGGGATCCAGCCCCAGACAAAGTCAGCCGGTGTTCGTCCGCATTTACATGAAACCGGATGCTCGCGGAGCCGGAATGAGCTAACTGGAGTTTGAAACACAAGTGATAGCGGCAGCCCGCGCTTTGTCAAAAGTGCCGCTCTCATTGGCAATTTTTTTTGGCTCATTTTTTTTAATGCACGTGCTTTTTTATATACCTGCATGTGCGCGAGTGGCCTCGGAAGAAGCCACATCCGCCCCACCCTCAGCTTCAAAGCACTTGTTTTTATTTTCCTCGTAAACATCGCTTCCTCATCGGCGAACGTGGGGGTGAGTTTTTAATGTAATGGAGATTTATCCCTTCGATTGTGAAAATGTTGTGGTTTACAGAGCACGGTTCGTATTTTCGTCCGAAGTGCTGCCACCGGCGAGTAAAATAATTTGGCAAGTTCCTGGTTTTGTCTGGCTCTCTGCAGCCGTTCTCTCGGCTCTCGAGACGCCAAACAGCTGGCCGTCCCATTTGTTTTCTGCGGCCTGTTGTGGAGCGAATGCGGCAAGGGGCAGTCGCACGTCTTTCCCTATTTACTTCCATTCTCCTTGACACCGAAAAATGCATTTTTGTGATACTCCACAATCAGTGGCACTTGAGAAAGAGAAAAAAAAAACTTCTTCAGAGTAGGGGGTCCATTTCCCAAAACGTTGCCTATTATATATTTATACATACCCGTCAACCCCTTACCAGTGCCTCTCTTATTACAGAACAATTCAGACCGTATTGGTCACCCCGTGCCCTTATAAATCTCAATGTTCATCCTACAAAGTCCCATCACAAGGGAGAAACAGAAATAGACAATCTTCACCACTAGTACACTGACCACTACACTCACCACGAGTATACTCACCATATTGAAATGGACGTACGCCGTATGGACCTGAAAACGCAATTTCCCTGCACAAGAATGCGTGGTAGACGTTGTGGGTTGACAGGTATGTTTATAAAGTTCCTTTATACATTTTTTTCCTTCTTTAATTGCAGCGTAATTAATTTATTTGTTGAGTTTTGTTTATTTTTATTTTAACTTTAGATGACGTTTGTCAACTTGGGAAGAGTTTTTTTGCTTATTTTGTTTGTCACCACTGCCAGACATCTGGCGTGTGTTTCCGCCCGGGGCTGGTGGCACGTGTGCCTGTGACACCCGCCGCTTTGTAGGCATGGGTTGGTGGGGGCCACATATAGATGTATGAAACTCCCGAGCAGTACGTCAGGTTGGTTCATGAACAAATATCTCTGCGGACCTTTTGGGCGTTATCGTTTTTTTGTATCATTTATCAAGGTTGCTGAGCGCAGGCCCAAAGGCGTCAAACGCCAGGCAGCCTAAACCAAACTGCCCTCGTGACGTTGTCACAAACAGCAGTCGACGCGTTTCTTTGATTGGGCGAGGTTGCGTGAAGCAACCGCATCGTTGTCATTTTAGAATTCTTGAACGCTCTCCCATCGCTTGGTCTCATTGGTGTGCTGCGGGCGCGGCACCGCCGCGCTTGTCCCGGCAGACCTCGCGGAACCTGGAGATGGAGGTGCTGAAGAAGGAAGGCGAGATCTCGTGGCTCATGGGCGAGATACGGCGCCTTCAGGCGGCGCTCGTCAAGCTGCGCGAGACCTCGACCGCTCAGATCCTGCAGATGGAGGCGCAGCTGCAGGAGAGGAACCGTCGCATCCAGGTGCAGTCCCCACGCTCGCCTCCGCGCCGCCCGGCTCCCCCCCCCGACCCCGCTCTCCGGTCTCATGGTGGCGAGATGTTAACTACCTCGCCTGGTATACTGGAGGTTCGATCCTGACCCTGCACCTGCTGTATATTTGAAGTTTGCGTGTGTCTCTCTCTCTCATCATCATCACAGTGGCTAGGAGATGTTAACTACCTCGCCTGATACACAGGAGGTCGTGGGTTCGATCCCGACCCTGACGCCTGCTGTATATTTAGAGTTTGCGTGTCTCTCTCCCCGTGGTCGCGTAGATTTTTCTCCGGGTCCTCTGGAATTTCCCTCAACATTTATAAATAACGTCATGCGTTTAGAGTATTTTTTCTGCTGGTATACATTTTCCACACGACAGGCCACTTCGTTGCGCTATCATTCGTGGCCAGGTCGCTTCTGAAAAAGAGCTATACAGTATAGCTCAGTGGGCCTTACCTGGTAAAGCAAAAAAAAAATTAGTTCAGTGTCACCGTTGCCTGCGCGTTGCAATAAACCTGGCGTCGCGTCCGCCAACTCGGTGGCTTGCGACAGTTCATTGGTCGTCACGAAGGGACGGAACGGCTGCGGCGCGTGCCGTGCAAAGCATCCCAGTCGCTTCCCGTTGCCCCGCCCCCCCCCCCCCCCCCCGCCTCCTTTTCCTCAACATGTACGGTTTGAAATTAACGGGTCTCAAACACGCGGCGCTTCACGGGGGCAGGAGACACAATACCGCAAGTGCAGCCGGGTGTTCCGGCTGCGCGACACAGCAGCCCTTATTTCAAGCGTCGCCCCCTGCATGAGTCGCCGCAGCCTGTGAGATCGGGTTGCGAGTCTCCGGGAGCTATTTTAGCGGTTTATGAGCAGTGGTTTATGTCTCCCTGGTGCGCTGATTTTTTTTTTTTGTCGAGGCAGTTAAAATCCTGGTCCAGACGCGTTCAAAAACAACGCACGAGCTCACGGGCAGCAACAGTGCCTCCTCGGCCTATATTTGATTGCGGGGACGGATACACCGTGAAATTATGCCGCTGTGAAATTGTCGACCTTGCGGCTTCGGTGAGGCCGATCTCTCGCCTCCACGGACGCTTTGCCTCCGCGCCTGTGCACGTGTGTCTGTGCGTGTGTGCGCAAGTGTGCGTGTGTAGTTGTGTTTGGACAAGTGTGACAGTGCAGTGGGAGAGAGAAACCACAATTAAGAGTCCCACGCGCGTGTTAATTAGTGCCTGGCAGTAATAAAGGTCAGAGTCGCGCCAATCAGATGCCCTCTAATGAGTCCCCGTGCAAAAACACGTTTGTAGTCCCCACACCTACAGCCTCTCTGTGGTTTATTTAAAATAAATGGGTGCAGTGGCGCATATTAAAGCGTACGCGTAATTATCAAATGCTTTCCCCGTGCCGCACTTTCGTCTGTCATTATTTTTATTACTTTCTTTTTTTTTTGCCGAATATGAATTTTTTTGTTGGCCGCCGTTTGGTTTCGAAAGAACGCGCAGCCCCCAGAAAGCGAGCAGCTGTTATTTGGCGGCACCTTCCCCCAAGCCCTACGCTGCTGCCGCCCCACGCCAACACGGGTTCGTCGATGAAAATTAAGACGCAAAAATTTTCCGTGACGGGCACGCGGAATCACGCAGCAGTCGCATCGCGAGGGGGCGTTGCGGCTCTTAATGACATCACGCAGTTGTATCTCTTTTCCCCCATCCCCCCCCACTGCGAACGAGGATTCTTCGGGTTTGTGTCGGACAGCCCAGCAGTGCGCGGCCATATCTGCGATATATACGATCTTTTTTTGCTTTTCAACGTAACTTTAATTGCGCGGTGCTCGCGTTTGCTCGCGACCCCTCGATACTGGGCGGAGGAGCACACCCTGCCCGCTTGCGCACGCCGTGACGTTACTCGTCGCGACGGACCGCTCGCCCAACCCGCCCGTCCGTCCGTCTTTGTCTCCGCAGAAACTGGAGGAAAAGCTCCAAGGCCGGACAAACTGTGAAATAAAGTCTGAAGTCAAGTAAGGGTCGTTCATGTTTTGCGTTCAGTTCGTTCAAAATATCCACGGTGTCACCATGTGTAATAAGTTAGTTATTTAAACAGACAACGGTCTGTTTTACTGCATAAATATAAAATAACATTCTAGTCCCTGAGCCTGTGGGGCTATCTAGGCCAATGTTTTTCAGCAGCTTTTGTTTAAGCCAGCAAAAATGTTGGACCACTTTCAACTTGAACTAAACATTTGTTTTTTTGTTGATGAGACGAGAGAAAATGAGCATGGAAATAAACGCAGCATCGACATTGGGCGACGCTCACAACAACGAGCGGAGCCGCCGGGCGGCTAAAACACAGCAAGTCGGCACAGTAAGGGGCACAGATGGGGCATTAGCCAATAATCTCAAGTCAGTCGACCCATGGCACCTGCTGGGTCTGTCCCGTGACCTCCTGACAGTTGGCGTTCAACACTTGACCTGGCCTTAAAGTGCACTTAGCCTAGCACAAGTGCCGTGGTGACGTCACCACCACTTTGTGACGAATGGCGGCTGTTGTTGCTGTTGTGGTCACGTGCCTCAAGAGATTAGACCACTGAGCCGATACCGTTCAGATCCTGGGTTCAGATCCCAGGTTTCGGCCAACTGTGATTAAACCGGGTCCTTGGGGTATGGTCACTAATTACCGCTGAAAAAAAATCCAACGCATTAAATTTAGTCTTTCACTTAATTTCGATCAATTCTAGCCTGGACAATGAATGATATATTTTTTACTCTCGGGCACGCTAACGTTTCTCTGTAGCAGAGAGTGTAGGAAAGTGCGCCACCTAGTGTCGACATTATAACAACCACTGGTAGACTTGGCCTCGAATGAGTGCCCGGTGCGTAAACATCGCCACTCAGGGAAGAGAAAGGCAGCGGGACATGGTGCTGGCCAATCACCCCCTCGTGTGCCGTGGAGACCTTCATAGGAGCTCGCTAACAGCGCTTGTCCTCAACAGTCTGTTAAGGCTACACGGGAGATCTTTGTCGATTATTTGTGTGCCTGTTGTTGTGGGGAGCAGTAGTGTACTCGTTAGCGCTACAAACCCGACCACCTGAGTTTATATTTCTGATCTCGGTACAACAGTATCCATGACCTGAACCCGTCCCAAGCCTCTCCTAGGTCGACTCAGCCTTAAAATTACCTGGTGTTTAAACGTCAGTGTTGGAGAGACAAAGCTGGCTGGATGTGGTGCCGGCCAACTCACCCTGTTTGAGTGCTGTGCCAACCTTCGGAGATGCTCACTCACAGTACTTTCCTCAATGGAGTGCGTAGGCTACCCGGGGGATCATTGTCTTCGTTGTTGTTGTGTTTCTCAGTACGATGGAGACTGATGGGTTGGCGACGTCGGGGATCACGGTATCACGGGTGAGGGCCCACGATCACTTCCTCACATCGCTGCCGCTGATTACGATGACGATGCTGCTCTGCTCATTGTATGATGATGACGATGGTGATAATGCTGCTGCTGATGATGTAACGGTTAGATAATAATGCTGCTGATGATAATGAGAATGCTGCTGATGATGTGACGATGACAGTGATGATGATAGTGCTTCTAAAAATGGATATGTTGTGATTAACAAGGGTTGGCCTGCTAATGGTGGTGATGCTGCTGCAGAACATGACGTTACTCATACAAGCGTTGGTGTTCATGATGTTGCTACCTCGAAAAAAGCACATTTAACATTAAATAAAGGTAGCTAGTTTTTCTTTTCAAACACATTTATGAATATCAATTAAAATTTTTTGTTAATGACAATAACTACTCAGGCGTTGTGTACTTGTTGGGCGAGCACAGCATTGTGCCTTGACATTTAATCATCGCATCGGGAGGACGTTTGTAATCTTCAGAAATGTATAGGTTATTTTTTTCCATGGTTAAGTCACTTTTTTCTCCCGAACCCCTCCGTTTCTCCGCCGACCGACACCCGTGAGAACAACCGAACCGCCCGGGAAACCCGCAAACTGGATGTCACATGGGTTCAACTCCCGGCCGGGGAACTTTAAAGAACCTCGCAACGCGTTTCCGTATCCGCCGTTGCCGCCCGGCCCACTGAGCGGCCGAGGCGAGCCGGGTTACTCGGAATAAAAGAATCCCAGTTGGTGGGCTCGAGTAATGAAGGGTTCCTTCGTGAATTTCATCCTGCCTCACGGGCGTAGAAGCCACGGTTAAGTTATCTCTCAGCCCGCCACTGCAGAAATGCAGAATTTATGCGCCTAACTCGAGGACCTACCAACCGACCGCCCCCCGTGAGAGATGGGTCCTGTCCACAGAGCCCGTCCCTGGGGGCACGGCGAATGGGGGCGACCGCTCAGGGCCCCGTGCTTTGGGGGCCCCCCCCGCGCTTCGACGTCACCGTGTCGGATGTAATACTTCCGGTTTAGTTTTAAAGTGTCGGGGGCGGTAGGGGGGAGGAGAGGCCCGCATGGCGTGATTTGCCCTGGGCCCTGCACCTCCCACCCCCCACCATGGACGGCCCCGGGCTGTCCAATGCCCCTTTGGTATAACCGTTTGTCTGCCCGTCCATGTGCCTGCCCTGCTTTACGCTCCTCTCGCCATGTCCCGTCGTGCAGGTCGTGAGCCGACCCCTTGACGACCTCTTCCGGATACAGAAGGTGCGCGCCCCGGTGATGGCGAGCGAGCCTTCGCACATCCTCGACGGCGACACCCGAGGTAACCCTTGACCCTTGGGGGTGGGGGAGGCGTGGCTGGCCGAGGAATGTGTGCCTGAAACGCGGCTCTTTAGCCGGCGGTCGACTGCCACGGTGATCGTTCCGTTAACTAATCCGCGGCGGTGCGAGCCGGCTCCGTTGGAATTCTGGAGGTCTCTGCGGGCTGCCAAAGCACGTTTGTGAGGAATTCCAGCAGAGCTGATAATATAAATATCGGCTTCGTTGACCGAACGTAGGCTTTAAAGAGGAGATGGAAAAAGGTGCGCGACGAAAAAGTAAAAACACGTTAAAATTGAAAGCCGAAGCCTAAAGCGGTGACAGTAATGTGACGGTGTACATTTTAATCGACTTCTCTTTGCTCTCTCTGCTCTATCCCGGCATTGCCTGGCCTACCTTCCTCTCCTCCGGCCTCGCCCCCTCCCTGCCTCGCCCTTCCCTCGCACCCGCCGCCAGGTTCGTTCGGCCGGGAAGAGAACGGCTCCGTCGGGAGCCGCTGCCCCTCGGAACTGTCGAGCTGCGTGACGCCGCAGCCCGGCCACGCGAGCGGCGAGGCCGAGACGCCGCTCTACCCGCAGCCCGCGGCCGCGCTGGGCCTCGCCGCCGGCCTGGGCCTCGGCCTGGGCCTGAGCCCCGACCTCGTGCCGTCCCTCTTCCCCGGCTCGGCGCAGCAGCTGCCGATTTCCGCCGGCGGCGGCGGCGGTATCGGCGGCGGCGGTTCGTCGGCTGCCGGTTCGGCAGTCGCGGCGGCGGCGGCGGTTCGATCGCTCGGGACGTTCTTCCCCGTGCAGCTCCTGCATTCCATGTACGCTGCCAAGGCCGCGCAGGAGGCCAGCTCGGGAGCACCGGGCGGCGGCAGCGGCACGAGCGGCGGCGGCGGCGGCATCGGCTCATCGTCCGCAGCCACGGTGGCCACGTCTAGCCTGCTCTACCACCAGCCGGGCCTGTACGCGCCGCCGAGCGCGTCCCCGCCGGCCGTGCTCTCCCCTGGCGCCGCCAGGCCCGGCTCGGCACGGAGCGGCTCGTCGCCGCCGCCGCCGCCCCCGCTACCGCCGCCCGCGGTGATGTCACCGGGGCTCCTGCGCAACGGCGTCGCGGCGGGGCAGGCCGAGTGCGCGTCGGGCGCTAGCAGCAGCAGCGGCGGCGGTGGCAGCGCGGGGCTTGCGGGAGAACTGGACGAGCCGGACGTGGACACGACGGAGCTGGCGCGCCAGGTGAAGGAGCAGCTGCTGAAGCACAACATCGGGCAGCGCGTCTTCGGACACTACGTGCTGGGCCTCTCGCAGGTGGGGGGGTGACGGCGTCGGCGCAGCGGGTGCGGGCGAGCGAGTTGCGGGCGAGCGGTTGCGGGCGTGGGCGAGCGAGGCAGGCGAGCGGGGCGGTCGTGGGTGATCAGGCGGGCACAGGCGAGTGGAGCGGGCGAGCGGGCGCGGGGGGCGGACGCGGGGGGCGGACACGGGGCGGACGGGCGGCGGTCGACGCGGTTTTGTTTTTTGGGACGAGTGAATGGCGACCGACTGCGATTGGGTGCTCAGAACAGATGGGACGAGAAGCTTGCATCGATTATGTAACGCTCGGCAAAATTCGTCATTCGCGTTCATTACCGTACGGAAGCAGATTTTTCAGCTTTCAGGGCAAAACACGCGTGCAGATTCGTAATAGTCCTTTTTTTTGGTCGACGATGCTGCCGTCCACCGGTCGTTGTTCATAACCATGAGCGATTCCCATCTGGGCACCGATCGTAGGGAGCGCCGTGTCTCCTGCCTCTGCCGCCTCACTTTCCCACAGCCCGCTACCCACAATTCTCGCCGCACCAGGAGCAGGTGCATATTTCTAATAGTGCTTTTTATTTCCTGCTGGCTTGTTTCTGCAAGTTTTGGGCAACTTTTTATCGTAACAATTTGGATGGTTCTCAATTTGGTAGGTCAGCAATACAACTTCATACTGAGTTTGGCTACTATGCATCATATTTATGAGAGTTATTATAGATTTCCCTCCCTCACCCTCCCCCCCCCCCCCCCATTACGGACAGATGTACGGCCAGAGGTAATGTATAAACTTAGCTGGAAAGCATGAAAATATCGGTGCCAAGTCAGCTGCAGTTGTGTTGAGCTTTGATCCAAGATGTTTTGGCCGGGGCTTCTTGGCAAGAGAGAGCCGGGAAAGCCACTGACAACGGCAGTAGTTTGCAATAGGTTCAAGATTCTTGCATTTGCTGTTAAGAGTACGTTAAAGACCCCGTGTGGGTGGCATTCCTCGCAAGGCAAGACCACACACTACATGCTGGTGTCGTTGCTAAGCCGTCAATTCATAACCACAATGTGGTTATCTCGGAACGCCTCGCCGAGTCTCGTGGCTTGTTTCAGGACGATGCTGCCATGTGAACGAGTCTCTCGGATCTCCTGCCCTGGAGGGTGCCGTTTCTTTGTGAGATTGTATGGCGTCGGCAGTGGTGCAAATGACAAAACACTCGTTCTGTGATGAAAGACCGTTAGCCCGAAATACCGCCTATTATATATTTTCCTCTTAAGGCCACAGAGCCGTTGATGAACGTGTCGCGTTTTTCTGTGTGTGCGTACGCGCGTGCGTGTACACTTGTGCAGCGGCTAACGCGCCGCGCTCCGAAGCCGGCGACCCGAGTTCGATTCCCGCTCATCGCCACCGACACCAGTGACGGATTATCTAAACCATTCCTGGGCCTCCCCTAGGTCGACTCAGGCTGAATTGAGTACCTGGTGCTGCGTGTAAACATTGCCACTGGGGAGACAAAGGGGCCTGTGCGTGGTGCTGGCCACCCACCCCCGCATGTGCCGCTCCGGCCTATTCATAGGTGCTGCTCGCTTAACAGCCCCAACAGTATGTTAAGGCTACACGGGGCAAGGGGGGACCTTTGTCTTTATGTGCTCTTGTAGACGCGGCCTCTCTTTCTCTCAACGCAGGGCTCCGTGAGCGAGATCCTGGCTCGACCCAAGCCCTGGTCGAAGCTCACGGTGAAGGGCAAGGAGCCCTTCCTCAAGATGAAGCAGTTCCTCTCGGACGAGCAGAACGTGCTGGCGCTGCGCGCCATCCAGGTCAAGCAGAGAGGTGCGCCCACACATGCCGTCCGGCCGCCAACCATCACCAGCATCACCGCTACCGACATCCCTCTCTTCCCCCCCCACCCCCGCTTCGGCCCCACACGGCACTGCTGCCGCTGGTTCCATTACCAAGAACGTAATTCCTCCCGCAGCTGTTGCTGCTGTTGCTTCTGCCGTTGCAATTGTTGCTACTTGCTGTTGTTGCTGGAGCCACTTACTGTACGATCATCGTTGGTGCTGCTGCTGCTGCTATTCATGTTACTGCCGTTGTTATTATCGTTGCTACTGGTGCCATAATTGTTGTTGCTGCTGCTGCTGCTGTGAATACTGCTGTTATTGTTTCTGCCTCCGCCACTGCTTTCACTGCTGCTGGTCATTCTCGTTACTGCTGTTGCCATTGTCGGCGCTGCTTGCGTCTGCCGCCACTGCCGCGACTGTCGTCGCCGTTGCGGCCGCTGGCTCCCCACCCCCCCCCCCCCCACCTGATTGCCGGCGCCCCTGCAGGCAGCATCACCCCGAGAATCAAGACGCCCGAGAGCGGCTCCGATGAGGCCATCAAGAGCATCCTGGAACAGGCGAAGAAGGAGATCCAGGCCCAGAAAGGTTGGAGAGACGATCGCGGTGACAAAGACAAACGCCCGCCGCGTAGCCGTTCCGGACTGTCGGGTAAAAAAAGCGGCTTGTGTGGTTTTTTTTTTGCGAGCACCTGGGTTGTTGGCGGGCACGGCACACTGGCGGGTCTGGCGCTCGGTTAGGGGGGGCCGCGCGCGTGCTCGCGCACGTTCCGTACACATTTAAAAACCCCCAAAATCCCAAAAAAGGTTGTCTTCGTTAAGCACGCAATTGCGATGCCCCCCCCCCCCCCGCCCGTCTCAAGACGTCGTACGGACAGGGTGATACCCTGCGCACATACGCAGCTTGTGTCGGGGTTTTGTTTTTATTCGTTTGTAACTTATTATTACAGCAGCGAATGCAGGGTGAGAATTCGACAGGCCAGAGAGGGGGCGCCGCAGCGGTTAGCGCGCTCAGAAGAATCAGAATGTGAACATTTATCTACACTGGAAGAATCCGATGAGCTGCAAAGCTCTTTTTAACAGATGTCCAGTAGTTTCACAGAGGTCCACTCCACTGGGACCTCGTCGCTACGAGAGGGATATCTGAACCGATCCCGGACCACGCCCTCGATCTCAAGTATGGTTAAACCACTACAGTTATGGTGACAGGATCTGTTATGCCTCCGATTGAATCGACCAAGGAAAACAGAGAGAGAGAGACGCGTGGAGAGACACGCGCACGCTAACCCTCACATGCAAATGCGTGCACTCTGGTCGCGTGTGCGTGCGCTCGCACACGAATATGTTCAACGTCGGACGTGCTCGCGTGCGAAGGCATCCCAACGGCGAGTTAAGGGCGCGAGGGTTATAAGATGTTTTTGTATCTCGTACACGTGGGTAATATTCCAACACACATACATGTGTATGTATATTGTGAGCGCATCACGATGAGACCCAGAGCGTTCTCTCTCCGTTGTAACTTTCACTTTCGTTTGACGTTCAGAGACGACGATAAGTGAAGGCTGCTCATGGGCTGCATCGGCGTCGCGGCTTTTTCAACTTTGGAGTAAACAGTAACATTCCCAGTAAACGCAGAACGTTGGGCCGACCTTTATGATACAAAAAATGGCAAGGTTTTTTGTTGTCATTCAGGAAAAGCCTCGAGTCTCCAAGACACTTCTTGAGGAGGGGTCCGCATTGAGATGTTTGGTCAATTCTACTTTAAGGAGTGTTTTGCGTGTGGGAGGGAACCTGGACCACCCGGGGAAAACTGGCAAATTAAACATCTGCTTCTGGGGACCGTTCTCTAGCACAAATACAGAGACAAAGATCCCCCCATATGGCATTAACAAACTGTTGGCGCAAGTGCTGTTAAGCAACTATGAAGGCCCGCACGGCACACGAGGGAGGGGGTGGGTGGCTAGCACCACGCCCGGCCGCCTTTGTCTCCCCAGTGACGATTTGAGGCCAAGTCAACCTACGGGAGGCCCTGGACCGGTTCAGATCAATCGTCACTGGTGTTGGCCATGAGTGGGAATCGAATTCAGGTCACTCCCCACACACACACTTGTGTATGGCTTTGTGACCCTCGAGTTCTGGAGGCAATTATCGGTCAATCGTGTATACCTGTTAAATTTCCAAACCGACTGGACGATGACGTGACCAGGAAATGGCAGCAGTGGAGAAAGTGGGTTAGTGAACCCGTCATGTACGAGACCTCTTCTGAGATCCCTACAAGTGCTCCGTTTGACCCACGCACACCTAGGGGGGAGTGAGGGGTGCAATGTCCCACACGTCTTGCTACAGAGACTCACGTTCGTTTGACGGCAGTTGAACCATCTTAACGATCGCAGCCGGAATTGAACAAAATTAAGTGAAAACCAAATTAAATATTCATACTGTTTTTTTTAGTGCTCCACATTGGCAGTCACCCTCGCTACACTCGAGCATCCAGATTAATCGCAGTTGACCGAAAGCTGGATTCCAACCCAGGATCTCAGCAGTGCGGGCTGAACGGTTCACCGCTCTTGGCCGCTAGAACCACCCGGCCACCTCCGATGTAGTAACAACAACAACAACAGCGACAAACAACAACAATGGTCCTGACAGGTTTCTCTGATCGCGATTCTGGCCACACTCTCATTGCGGTTGTAAAAAAAAGTGTCTTTCCATTGTCGATCGCCGCACTCTCGCCGTGACGCTGATGCAATTAGGAGGCGCGTTCGCTGCTTGTGGCGCGGGAATCGATGTCGAAATAAACACGTTTATGTCGTGCATAATTAATTGTTAGCACTTAGCAGATAACGGCCCGAGCTTGTAGCCTACAAGGAAACCAGATACCTGTTCGCGCTTTGACCGCTATTTAAAAAAAATAACGTATTATTTATCGACGATGGCGATGACAATGACGGCAGCGATGATCATCAGCAGCAGCATCATCGGCAGCATCGTGCCATTTTATAACGCTCGGTTGCCACAGCGGACTGGTCGAAAAATTGATCTCGTGCAGCCAATGGTAAACAACTATAATTTACATCGTGTGCTTTAATTCCATGGGAAATAGTTACTTAACCAATTGTACTCCTGTACACCTTATCAACTTTTCTCATTTTGTAATGGCCCAGTGCAGAAAAATCCATTGCTGTGCTGCACTGCTATGCCACCACGTCTGTGCTGCACGCCTTCACACACCCACACACCGGCTGCCATACGGCAACATAAACCCCATGACTCGTTACGACGTGTCAAGGCCCCTCATCCAGCAGTGGATTCACCAGAGAGCTGTACTCAGTGGCCAAGAAGTGATGCCGCAGGCCTCCTCCAAATATATATTTTCGCCGTGCACTGCAAGACCCGTCCAGGAGGACGAGTCATGTATTCACAAATATCATCGGAGCCTTTGATGTTTAAAGTTCGGAGATTTGATGGTTGTCAGCTGGGTCCCCATGAACACACACAAACCCAGGCTTCACCCCCGCCATGTTAACCACATTATGGTCTGCACCTCAGTTCACCCTTTGTGTGCAGCTAAAATGTAAACATGTTCTAGGGCTCATCTTTCTTTCCGGGGACGTTTCTTCACCAACCACGCAAGTTCAAAGAAAGTTTAATTCAACCTCATAGGTTGCAAGGCACAATTGGCATACGATTGCTGACTAAGCTAACAAAACATATATTTAACAATATGGATTGAATGATTACCTCCTTCCTCCCGCCCCACTTCAACCCTTACTGTCCACCCTGGCAAATTGTATTAATTGTCGTGGTGCGGGGACACACGGATCGATATGTTTACTCAACGCTCCGTCCCGTGGCCACATAGCGCGCGGAACGAAGCGCCGCTCACCACCACGACGCACCTCCGTTTTGCGGCGATGTCCGCGGTTAACGAGTAAAACACAGAGAGAGGAAGCTCACCGAGAAGCCGGTGGGTGGGCGGTGAATGCGGAGCGGTGAAGCGTGCGATTGCGGTGGTGGCCGGTTCCCGCTCCCGCCCATTCCTCCCTTACTTAAGTTCGGCCAAGGTTGCAAAGGTCAAAGGTCGTTCCAATGCGTTTGCCCGGACGTACAAAATCTGGTTGGCCGGCTCGACCGAGAGATAACCTCCGTCGAGCGCAAGCGGTTGAAAGCGGCGCTCTTCACGATGTCTTTTAACTCCTTGTTCCCTGTTCGCTGTCATGGGCGGTGCTCTTCTCGGAAGGACAAAGTGCCGGTATCAACGCCGATGCCAATGTCGCCTCCGATTTAGGCTCGGCAGCTCAGCCGAGGGCTTCAACTAAGCCTCTGGCATTGCCTTGAGCCCTAAATATAAACGGGGCGCTCGCCGGATCACAGGAAGGAAGGGCGGCCGAGAGACGAGGCTCGATGGCCTGTCGTCGTATCGCGCTGCGGGGTGAGGTTCCTTTTAGTTCGCCGGCCGTTCGGCGTTGCCGTGGCGAACCGTCCGCGGAGGCAGCACGGAGCCGCCCGGCGTCGTGGGGGACACGAGGCAGAGTGTGGTCGTGAGGGACACAAGAAAGTCTGGTGGTGTGGGACACGAGGAGGAGGAGACACCGTTTCTGGTCCCCTTGCGTTGGGTTCACCAAGGGGGATTCGGTTCCCGGAATGTCCCCCGTCGTTTGCTGCGGTTGAAACTGAACGAGAGGAGTAACAATACAAACAACAACAACAGCGCCACGTGCCGTCTGGGATGGTCTGTGCGGGGATGGCCAGCGGTCGATCGCAGCACTAGGCCGGGATTTATCCCCTCGCACACGTAGGGTTTCTCTGGTCACTCTCGGTTGTCGCTCCGATAACAAAAAAATACACAACAAAAGATTTGGCAACATGTCCAACAGGAGCCTCCAGAAAAAAAACACTCTTGAGACTCGATGAGGCTTATCTGGTTAAACTTAATTTACAGTCCCGTTGTGAGTACACTGCTGGATGACAGCCTCCTTATGTCATGCTGGTCGTTGAGCATACTTTACCATGCCGGTCAGTGCAGGTGGGGAAATGGGAGGAGGCCCAGGACTGGTTCTGATATCATTGGCAACTTGATGTCACCAGCAGGCACAAATCGAACTGAGAGAGACCAGTTCATAGAGCAGTGTGCTAACCGCTACCCCACCACTCCTCCACAGACATGCATGCAAACACACGTGCCACGCACGCACAACAACAACAAGAACTGTGCATTCACCATTATTTGCCACTTAAGTTGCGGTGGCGTCATCACGGCACCCGTGCCAGACTAGGTGCACTTTAAGGCCACGTGAAGTGTGGAATGCTCGCTCCCAGGTGGTGACGGAATGCCGGATTCACAGCGTGGTGCGCTACCCACCGTGCCACCGCTCCACCTCGCGTTGTTGTAACATTCAGACCCCGTGTTCCCTACTAGACGTCTCTGAAGAAGAGCTCCATGGCACATCGGATTCCTCATGTATAAATAAATTATTATGATTCTGTACATCACAGCGCTGAACGACACTGACCCGCTTTTTGGCGCGTGCGCGGTCTGCAGTGGAGCAGAACCCGACTCCGTCTCCGGTGCCGGAGCAGGGCGGCTCGGACGAGACGATCCGCGCGCTGCTCGAGCAGGCTCGCCGCGAGATGGAGGCCCAGCAGGCCGCCATGATGAGGGCAGAGGTCGTCGCCGGGGGCGACCCCGCCTCCTCCTCCTCCGCCGCCGCAGCCGCCACCGCGTCGTCGACGCTCGCGATGTCGTCGTCCTCCTCGTCCTCGTCCTCCTCTGCCTCGTCCGTGTCGGCCTCGTCACTGGCCGACCCCTTCCTGCACTCGCCGCCACAGCACCAGCAGCAACAGGCGCAGCTGCTGGCCTACGGGCAGCAGGTGATAGCGCGCGGCGGCGGCAGTGGTGGCGGCGGTGCGGACAGCGACGCGCTGCTTGTGCGCGTGAAGCGGGAAGGGCGGCAGACGCCGTCGCTGCAGCTGCAGCAGCAGCAGCAGAGCATCGTGCCCACGTCTCAGTCGCATGCCGAGTTCGTGCAGAGCATCATCCAGAGGGTGAAGACGGAGCTGGAGGACGGCCGCTCGCAGGGCGGCGGCGGCGGCGGCGGCGGCGGTGTCATTCCCGGCATCACCGGTGGCGGCAAATACCGGACGTCTTCGTCCTCCTCGTCCTCGTCCTCATACTTCAACTCGTCGGCGTCGCCGCTGTCCGTCTACCGGAGGGACGCGTACCGCTTCTACCCGTCGGCTGGGCCCGAGCCTCTGGTGCCGCCCCCGCCGCCGCACCACCACCACCACCATCACCACCACCACCACCCGCACCATCCGCACCACCACCATCACCACCACCCGCACCAGCAGCAGCCCCAGCAGCAGCAACAGAGCCCGCAGCAGCAGCAGCAGCAGAGGCACCGGCTCAAGGGGCCGGCGGCGGGCGAGGCGACGCAGGACTCTCCGCAGCAGCAGCAGCAGCAGGTGGTGCACGCAGTGGCGGCCGCGGCGGCGATGGCGCCGGCAATCGTCTCGAGCCACAGCCTCGGGGCCGACGCGTCGGGCGGCTCAGAGCCGCCCTCCCCGTCTCCGTCGGCGCCGCCGGCCGGCGCGAACGCGCCATCCCAGTCGCCGCTTGTGGTGCCGGGCAAGCCGCCGCGGCCGTGCATCCCCCCGCTGACGCCCGAGCAGTACGAGGCGTACATGTACCGCGAGGTGGACACGGCGGAGCTCACGCGCCTCGTCAAGGAGAAGCTCACCAAGAACGGCATCTGCCAGCGCATCTTCGGCGAGAAGGTGAGGCGATCGCCGAAACGATGTGTCCACCCCACCCTCCCCTCCCTCCGTCCTCTTCCCCCCCCCAATCCCTCCATCAGCCCCCTTCATGATCGCCCTTTCTTTATTCGCTGGCGTCATCTCTGAACTAAACTATAAAATAAAAACTCGGTTTTATTTTACTAGGTAAGGCCCACTGAGCTATGCAGCAATTTTTTCGGAAGCGACCTGGCCACAAGTGATGGCTCAACAAAGTGGCTTATCACGTGGTTTCAGTTTCAGTTTTCAGTTTCATTTATTTGGTATAGCCCTGTGAGCCATTCGGCTCTTGAATCGGGTGCAACCACAAAAAACAAAAACATGAACAAGAAAACATCTTAAAGTGACTATGTGTTGACTGTGCAAACAGAAAATCCAGGAAAAAACAGCAAAATATTCCTAAAAAAGCACCGTACACCAACGCTGTGTGCAAAAATCCCAGCTACCAATATATCTACTAACTCATCCACCCACCCGTTTACCTGCCTGCCCGTGTACCTACCTTGCTGATAATTAATTATCTACTGACCCGCCCACCTACCTGTCCAGCTACCTTCTTACCAACCCCAAGTATTAATCTGCCCTGCTATTCATTCACACAGCCACCCACTCACCCACCCCACCCTCCGTGCCTACATAAGGTGCACCTCTTGTAAGACGCCGACCTCGTGGCAAAAACCTAACAGCGAGGGAAGGGTTAATTAGTGGAGCGGATCTCCTCGATCTCCGCGTTCCTTATTTAAATCGTCGCAGTGAAACAACTTTGCGCCATTTAAATAGCCTCCGTCCGTCGTGAGTGCCGGGGAGACCCCGAGATCCAGCGCTCGGTGTGATCGCGCGAGCTGATTGTGCCTCCCCTGGATTGCCAGTTAGCGGGACACACTCGAAAATTAATACCTTTAGCGCTAACAAATTAGCGGCCCTGCGCGCTCGCCGCTGCCGCCGTCCCCTCCATCACGCTGCGATAAGTAGCATCCTGGGAAGCCTCTGATGAGATTAATTTTCGGTGCATTGCGCGCGCTTGCCAGCGCCGTGTAGCGCGTGTGTCGGTACAATTGACAAGGGGGTGTGGTGAGGAGTGAGTTTTTTTTTTCCTCCTACGCCGCTGCCACCGCCACCAACGCTGCTAATTAACTAAAAATTGCAGAGCGTGCTCGCAAGCCAGCAGGGTGGAGAGAACGCCCCCGAATCGGGTCTGCGTCAGTGCTACACCGATACGGGGGGCGACGTGGCAACGGAGGCCGTGGCTAGTTGGGGGGGAGGGGGGGTTGTTGGTTGCGTACGTCACGTCTGCGCGCCTCTGTACGCTACGCCCCAGGGCGTGTGCGTACATCTGTGTAATTGTACGTTGAACGTCTTCTTTTTGCACCGTACATAGCCCAACCGCGTTAATCGGAGGTGCAGCTTCGTCATCGACTGAGTTTGTCTTCGTCACCGACGCTGCGGCTGTGCCTACTGTCGGTCACGTGCCACCCGCCGCAGCCTTGACAGCGAGCCAGAATATGTTTGGTGGAGAACGTGAGCCCCCGTGTCCAAGTACGCCGAATGGCCAGATCGCAACCGGTCTCGTCTCACCTCCGAAGCTAAGCAGCCCGGAAAAGTGATCGGATGGGCGGCCGCCGTGCATGAAACAGGTGCGGTTGTCGACTGCTACGGGGGTGGGGGGGGGGGTTTGCCACATTGCGGGCGGCAGAGGTTGGTGCAATATAAATACGTGCACGTATTGTTGTGCTTGACCACGCTTCAGCGTCTACGCCTCCCCCGTCCTCAACCGGCGTGCGTGGCCGAAAGAATCGTGATCAAAAGTACGGTCAAGTAAACCCCGTGACCCCGCACCGTGTGGGGAGGCCCTCCGCCAGCAGTGGAATTCACTAAAACTTCACGTAGCTATTTGGAGGCGTGTGGCCCGAATTTCCCTATTGAGAAGGCGGGAGTCACGGCAGGAATCGATGATGCACGTGGGCATGGCGAGATGTTAACCACCTCGCCTGGTATACAGGAGGTCGTGGCTTTGATCCCGACCGTGACGCCTGCTGTATATTTGGATTTTTCTCCGGTTTTTCCCTCCACACTTAGAATCAACATGTGATGACAAGCCACTTCGTTGAGCTATCATTCGTGGCCAGGTCGCTTCTGACAAAGAGCTACATAGCGCAGTGGGCTTTACCTGGTAAAATAAAAAATATAGGGCTGGCCGGCGGTACACAGCTGTCGAGCGTGTGTAGGCGGTGCAACTGCATAGGAAGCCCAGGTTTAAGGCTACGAAGGGAGGGGGGGTATTGGAGGGCATGGGGGGCCCATTCCCTCCAGCAAGGCCAACGCCACCCACGCTGCGCCATTGGGGTAACGGTGACGCTACGATGATGATGAAGACGTTGGTTGTGACGTGTCTATTCGGCTGATATCACCAGGGCGACAAGAGGCAGTGTGCAGGTGGTGCCGAGGGGGGTGGGGCGGGGGGGGTGTTATGGTAAGCCACACGTGTAGGCCATATGTCGCTGTATCCAGATCCTGCCGGCGAGCCATTGCGGTGCAAGTCGCGACCGCGGGATGCGCAAGCAGGCTCAGCCGGGGTGCACAGCGGCACACGCACGTTGGGGGAGCCTCTTGGTGGGGGGCGGGTGGCGGGGGGGGGGTTGCGGTCGCCTGCACCTGGCAGCTCGTAGGTCCAAGCGAGGCGCGCGGCCGCGAGCGTGCGCACGCGCACGGAGGTGTCGGCACGCATGGAGCGACACTCGAAAACGACGAGCGGACGGAGTGACGGGCGGCTAAAACGCAGCGAGTTGGTGGCACAGCGGGGAGCGCGGGCGGTGCATCTGGTCGGTCATCCTCAGTCGGTCAACCCAGTCAACCCATGGCATCTGGGTCTGTTCCGTGACCTTCTGTCGGCTGCGAGCCTTCAACACTTCCCGTGATAGCCTCAATGCGTGCACCTTAGCCTGGCACAAGCACTGCGGCGACGTCACCGTAACACTCAGCGGCAAATGGCAGCCGCTGTGGTTGCTGTTTGCGCACGAACGCATGTGCGTGTGCACCAGGTATGTGTGTACACGGATTGCAGGGTTGGGGGGGGGGAGCGGTCTCCTGGAATAACTCGATAACCCACGGCAGCTCATTTGCCCAGAAAGTAAAGTGTGGTTTTGTTGAGAGTCAGGCGGATGAAGTGGATGAACCCGAGCAAGTTGTTCCATTCGTCGTGTGGCAGTCTGCCGGAGACGTGAGCTTACAATGAGAATCAAAAAAGAAAAGAGCCAACGTGGATTTTTTTTCTTGCATTGCCTCAAATAAATGAACGAGGCGACTACGTGTGACGTGTCGGTGGGCGAATTGCAATAATATTTTACCAATGGATTTGCTAATCACATTAATAACTGGGGGGAGGAAGGGTGGGAACATTCACTGCTAGGTCATATGATATTTTTGGGTGAAGGCAGGGAAGGAAAAAAGGCAGCACGGTGAGCATGCGAGGGAAACCATTCTTAGACGGAGGGAGAGCGCGACTGGGAGAGAAGAGAAGCGCCAGAGTCTGAACGGGGAAACACGGTCGTGACGGCACGTATGGCCAGAAGAACAGCGGAAAGGAGCTGTTAGTGGGGAGCGGCGGTTGCGGCGAAATAGCAAAACAGTTGAACGCAGGTCCCATTCGGTCGTGCGTCACAGCGCACAGTGTGTGCGGTTACGCGCCTTACACGGTGGGCACAGGTGAGCGCAGGTGCCCGGGAGAGGTGACACACGCGACGGGTGTGGGAGAGGTGGCGCAGCGACGGCGCGCGTGCCCGGACAGGTCGCTAGCACCCCCCCCCCCCCCCCCTCCATTTCGTCCTCCCCCCAGAGAGAGGCCATCCTCGTTGGCGCGTCCGTTGGCAGGAGTCGGACGATTCCCGTGCGCGCGTCGCCGCCAGTCTGCGACTTTCGTGGCCACCTCGAGGCCCCACCCGGCGTTTTAGCGCTCATTAAGAAGCCGGGGGGGGGGGGGGTGGTAGATGAAAACACGCAGAGGGAACAAAGGGTGACGCCCACCCGCCCGCTTGCTCGCTTGCTCGCCCACCCGATTGCTCGCTCGCCCGCTTGCTCACACGCCCACCCGCCCGATCGCTCGCCTGCCCGCTTGCTCGGCCGCCGGGCGTCCCGTCCGCCCGGCGGCTGAACCCAAGTCTCAGGTTGAAACTTCAGACTTCATTTCCTGCGTACGATTTCGTACAGTTTCTCTTTCAGCAGGCGAAGCGGGGCATTGCGCTCGGAGGCAGAGTTAATAACGAGAAGACAAATGTGGTGTTTTGTGTGTGCGCGCACGTGATTTAGTTTTTTATTTATCAACCGTGGGTGGATGACATTTGGGTTGGGTGACGAGGTTGACGGGCCAAGAGGTGAATGTTTGGGCCGTGGTCAGAGGCGTTTGCGGGGGGGGGGTGGGGGGGTGGGGGGGGGGACGGACCTAGCCGCGTGACACGTGTGCACGACAGCACGTGTGTGCGCGCGTGAGCGGCAGCACATGACTTATTACCCGATCCTGGGCCTTTCCTAAGTTGAATCAGCTTTAAATGAGTACTTGCCGTGGTGTACAGACGGCAGCATTGGGGGGAGGCAAAGGGCGTGGCGTTGGACAACACCGCCGACCCCTGGTGCGCCGCGCCGACCTTCATAGGCGCTCGCGAACAACACTTGGCCTCGACAGCAGGGGGGTGGGCCTTTATGTGAACGCCGTGTGAACCTGGCTTGGGTTTCATTGTCTACGTAAGAATGTTTTTAAGCACTCTCGGCATGTGGGTGGGGAGGAGGAGCGGGTGGTGCTGCACCATGAACCCTGCTCAGTCGAGCTCGATTTATTGGTCGCGGCTAACGTTGGTGGCGAGCGACATCCGATCCGGTCCTGGGCTTCGGCCTCACCGACCCGCTCCGACACGATTCTTCTCCTGGAGGATTCAGAAACTCCATCATCTGCCCTCGCTCGCCCCTCTCTTTCGTCCGTTTGATTCCGATCTGTCTTTTAAGCCTTTCCCATTCCGATGACGTACGTCTTCTTTAAAAAACAGCGGCGCTGCTACGCTTCTCCTAAATAAAATTAACACTGAGGCGCTCGCGCGTTCCGAGATTCAGCGGTGAACGGGACACCTACCCTGCAACTTGCAGACATTTCGGAACGGGAAAGGGTTAATAATTTTCCTACATCCAACAAATTAATCTCTTTGTTTCCGCCAGTCGGGACAGTTATTTTCGTTTGTCCTCTCCATCACGCGCGTAAGGGTACCTGGTAAAGTATGGTGTTGGCATCACCACGGGTGGCGGAACGTGCGTTGTGCCGGCCTCACCCGGTGCCTCCCGGCGCGTGCTCGCCGAAACCCAACGCCGCACCGTAAGGCCGAACGGGGGAACGTAATTTGTCTTTTTTTCTGCGTGCGCCCTGCACTGCCAGGTGCTGGGTCTCTCTCAGGGCAGCGTGAGCGACATGCTGTCTCGCCCGAAGCCCTGGGGGAAGCTGACGCAGAAGGGACGGGAGCCGTTCATCCGCATGCAGTTGTGGCTTCACAACGAGCTGGGCTCAAGCACAAACTCACAAGCCTCCCCGGCCAGCCAAGGTGGGTCTCTTAGCCTGCCCTCCATCACTGCCTCCACTCACTCGCTCCACTCACTCGCTCCCTCCATCACTGAATCTCCTCCTCTCCCTCCCCTCAACTCCATCACTCGTCCCCTCTCCTCCTTCGCCCCTCCTCCGTGCACCTGCCCCCTAAATCGCCTCCCCCCCCCCCCCCGGCCCAATCTCACAATGTTCACGAGATTTGAGGCGACTGTGCGAGGTTGACCCGGGCACCGCCGAGAATCTTGGGTTCTCAAGTTAGGAATGTTACCGAACGCTGCCACAAAACAAATGTGTTGTCTTTTTTCTCTCTCTCGATTTTGTCCTACGGTTTGGTTATCTCGCGACAAAAATGCTGTTTTCAGTGGCATGATTTCGCAAGTGCAGTAACCTCTCGTTTGATGCGGTAGATGCGTTCCCGAGCAGAGCTGCATCAAGCGACAAAAATCGTTAAGCGAGGAATAACTGTGTTATTGACTCACGTTTGCGCTGTAAACTCAGCCTGCAGTGATCCCACGGCGGTACAAAGAATTGAGATGAAATTACACCGCCACGTACTGTATCATTCCGCGTTACTGTACCGCTCAGCCCCGCAGCTCAAGAAACCTTCCGCGTTACGACGGGGCGCCTTCCGCGTTACAAGCGAGAGCCTACTGTCGTTATGAGCGAGAGTCATCTTGTTTGGCGATGCACATTTGCAATAACGTTGGCGGCGGGGGGCATGGGGGGGGGGGGAAGACACGCGCGAGGTTTGCATATGTGCGCGGTTGGAGCCGCCGCGCGTGCATCGTTAAAACGCGAAGCATCGGGACCTGGTCTGGGATCGTTCAACGGAGGATCGAAGAATCAATCTCGTGGGACCCATGCGTCTGTTCCGGGACAGTGAAGCCAACGTACGCTTCTGCAGAGGCTTGCCATCGTTCGGATAACATTGACGGATATTGGCCGGCTGTTAGTCAACGTATTATCATCATCCCCCCCACCACCACCGTGGCCACTCTCCATCGTTAATATTGCCGCGACACGTAAACATGTACGCGATGTAACAAGTGCATCTTCACGTTAAAAAAAATGTTAAATCTGGCTTGAAGCCTATGTGGGTACGTGCCGTGCGGCCGCGTCAAAGGGCGGGCATCAGAATTAGCGTGGGCGCATCGTGGCTTCCGCGGGGACCTTGCTGACTGACGGGGGGGGGGGGGGGGATATTTTTTGTCGGCCTGGCACGAGCGCACAGGCGCGGGCCTGCTGCGTGTCGTACCCTGTCCTTGAAAACGAAAAAAAGCTCCGCCAAAGTGACGCTGCCGCGCTCTTGTGAGGCCAAACTACAAAGAATTCAATCGTTAAAGCGGAGAGCTTTAAAATATATATAATTAATTAATTCCCTACCCCCCCTCCCCTCCTCTACTTCTTCATCTTCCGCACACGTGTTTTTAATTCCCGCTCTTAACATCAAAGCGTTTTTCAGCGTAAATATTTTGCCAGACCGACGTCGCAGCGGCCGGTAGTTTTCTAAACGTGATCTTGGATGTTTGGCGAGGAAGTGCCGGCGGCGTTGGTGGGGGGTGCTGGGGGGGAGTGGGGGTAGCTGGTGGGGGGGGGGGGGGCGTGCGGGAGCTGGCGGAGCTCGGATGGTGGAAGGCCGCAGCTATCGGCGTTTGGTGAGCACAGCAGTGCCACGCGGGACACCGCGGGTTCTCTTTCGGGGGCCGCGTGACAAGTGGCCTCTTATCGGTCGTACCGCGGCGCCGCCTGGCGCTGCCACCTTTCCCCCCCCCACCTCCTCCCCCTCGCCCCCCACCACCCCCCACATCCTGAAACGTGCAGAGATCCATGACCCATAATGTTGTCGGCTTAAAACGTTTCCAGTTTGTTTCGCTTACCCAGGATGGCAACAGGGCGATTGATCTCGTTTTGCCAGAGTGACGTTGGCCCGTGGCCGCTGCTCCTGTGATGAGGCTCTGAGTGATGAATTACCAACCAGGCGGTCAAGTGATGTCCACCCCATATTCTCCTCGGCCGTGGGCAGAAGCTGTGGCCGAGGTAGTGCTGCCGTTGTTGTTCTTGTTGAGGTTCTTAATTTTCCAGGAAAGAGCCAGTCATCTTTATTCAGTTTCTCTTCGAAGAACTGAAGGCTTGAACGATGGTCCGGGACCTTTTTGTGCAGTGTGTTGTTTAAAGTATCCAAAAGCCTCTTACTCTCATTCCATTAATTTATTCCCAGTGTTTATTTTTTTTTAGGTATAATACACGGGGGGAAATGAGAGTGCCCGGAGAAAACCCACAAAACACTCCTACTCCCGCACAGTTTGTTTATCCAGCGAAGCAGACAGTTTTGAGATATTATTGCACCTGCACCAACGTATGATTCACACGTAGGGGAATGCATTTGCGGTCATCCTATCTCGTTCCGCGAGAATTTTTGACCAGAAATCAACGCGATGAGATAACTTAATTTGCCAGCCTGAGAGTTTGCCCATCAGTCATGTCGCTTTACTCCGGTAATGGATTGTACAGTAAACCACTCTTGTGTGCGCTTCTTCAATGGAGCAGGCATAGCAAAAAACTACACAAACTATCTCCTGAAGCTCTCTCGTCGTGGACAGCAGACCTCGACATTGGCATTTATCACCCAAACATATTGCTCCCATACACAAGAATTGAATAGAATTCCTGTAAATGTCACAGTTGCAGGGCGGAGAGCTCATCCTTAACCAGAAGGAAACGGGAACTCAACGGTATTGACGATGGCCTGTGACTTAGGTGGAAAAAAAAAAACCTGTGGCTGAAACTCATGCATTGCGATTTTGTTGAGGATTAAATCGTTATGAAGGGGTTAATTCTATTTGTAGCACAGGCCCGTCATGTTTGTCTTTATTTTACTGTGCCGAAAGGGCCACTGTGTGTTGCAAAAGTTGTCCGCTTCTAGATTAAAGAAGAGAATAAGCGAGGAGCGGCTCGCGAAATAAACTTCCAAGGCTCCGCTCGGGCACAATGCGTGATGTTTAATTCAGATTTCCTTTTGGCGGCTTGAGACAACATTTATCGCGAGGGGTTACAGTGACCCCGAAGCTCTGAAATACCCCTGTTTACAAAACACGGCGAAGCGAAGGCCCTCCCATGCATCATTTATTTTTAACAAGATTATCCTTCGAGCCGCGCCGCTCACAGCAATTACTTCTGCTGTGGAAAATTCGTCTAAATCACAATAGCTATACAACAACAACATCAACGCTATAACAATAAGGACGGCAACAATTATCTCGTTTTGTTTTTTTGTCTTTCATCGGGGGTTGAAATAATAAGGAGAAGAAGGGACGGCGGCTGGGGCCGGAGAGTTGGGTCGGGCGCTCGAGGCAAAAATTGGAACGTGGCGACGACGTTCGTAACGACATGAAACGGTGCTTGTACCAGAAGAAGAAGATCAACAAAAAACCCAGAGGCCGTCCGAGGTGCAGCGAAAACTGGGGAGGAACTGTGAATTCAGCAAGGGTTAAGCACCCCGGTTTAATGAACCGTGAGTGTGGCGTGATGTGTAGTGTGAAGTGAAAATGAAAACGCGCCCGCACTGTCCACAGCGCCGAAGCTTGTGTGCCGGTCGCGCCGAACGGGAGGGAGGAAGCGTGCGTGCGTGCGTGCCGCTGTGTGGGCCTCTGTGCCTGTGGGTTGGGGCCGGCTCACGTGGCCACAGCGCGTGACCCCCCCCCCCCCGAGGCCCCCGTGGGTGGTGGCCTCCCCCCTCCCGCCAACGGTCGCCTGCCGTAGCGGCCGTCACAAACCTTTGGGTTGCGGGCCCCCCTCGTCAGCAAATGTATTTCGATTGTAACATTAACAATAATAATGATGGTGAAATGTACTTTATTTACCCGGAAAAGCCTCGTCGAATCTCGAGAACTCATTTTCAGTGGGGTCCCGTGTTGCGACATTTAGCCAATTCGTGTAATGCGCTGTATGGCTTTGTGTGTGGGAGGAAGGCCACACGTACGAGTGGGTAATAAACTCAAACGCTTCGCACGGATAGATCGAAGAACGGCGTCGCAGTGCTGCCGTCTTCTGGCCACCACGCGGCCCGAGCTACACACACACACATGCTTGGATCGAAAACCCCGCTTGGCCTTCCAGGATGCGACGAAGAGTGGTGGGGTGCATTTAGGGTGATCCGTTTTGTAGGCCAAGAGAGAGGGGGACGGGACGCAGTGTGAGAGTGCCCAGAGGGAAGCGGTGTGTGAGTGTGCACAAGGAGAGGGAGGGAGAGAGAGCTACAGGTCACTCGGGGAAAACGTTGCGGAGGTCACTGTGGCGAGTTGGAACCCTGCGGAGGTCAGGGTCGTGAGTTGAAACGCCGACCCGACCAAGCAAACCAAAAGCCAGGTTGAGCGTAAACAGCCACGGACAACATGTACGAGTTGCCAAAGAGTTGCTGCGCTCAACCCAGCTACCACCCATGTCCGCACCCCCCACCACCACTGTCCCAACTCCATCTCTCCCCCAGCCACCCCTGGGACCCGCCAGCAGAAACAGGCCTCCTTATTCCTGTATAAATACACGGTCTGATTAGCTCTAATTCGCTTATTAATGTGGCCCTTTTAACTATCGAAAAACCCTCTGGTCCGCCTATCAGATATCAATGAGGGCTGCCACGCAGATTATTGCTGGTAATCGGTAACAGCTGTGAGCGTCTCTCTCCCAGCCATCCCCGAACTCAATGAGCCGCTTGTAACCGACGCTACTGTAACATTCGTTTCTTTTTTTTAATGGGTGTAACTTTTAATAAAATTGGTCTTCCCGATTTCCGGCTTTCCAAATGTGTTTTGTGTTACAGGCTTCGAGTATTTATAAGTTTAAAAGCAGCAGCAGCAGGGAAGGGGGAGGTGGGGGAGGGGAATGCGTATATATTAAATAAAATAAAGGAGAGATGGGAAGGAGGTACGAACATAAAGTGGCGGTAATTCCGTATCCGAACGTAGCTAATTGCTTGTTTGGCTAAAGTTAAACTTCAAAATGAATTCAGCAAGTCAAATGTAGCATAGAAGAAAATTAAATTATCGCTAGATTATGGGTTTTGCCGGGCGGCCCAAGCCCAACCACAACTTGATTCGGTTTTAAATGTAAATAAGATGAGACTTGCATAATGGCTCTTGTTTGAAATATTTTTTCGATGTGGTGGTGGTGGTAGGGGGGGGCTAGTGAAATTAAGTCTGCGGGATTATACTCTCTCGCTCGCCGTGCAGCGCGCCGAGGAATTCCGCCACCCATGCAGCTGAAAACGTCACCCGGCGGCACATACTGGAACCGGGGCCCGACAACAAAAAATCTTAACGATTGATAAAAAAAGGAAAAAATATGGTTGAACAAACGCTTTAAGATGTAGGCAGCTGGAAGAGGAGGGGTAGCGCGGAGGGAAGAGGTGGGGGGGGGTGCAGCAGGGAATTGATTACGGTTAATTACATTGGGTGCGGGTAGGGGGGGGGTACATAACCCCCTGGGTGATGAAATCAACCCCCCTGTATAAACCCCCAATTATTGGGATGCCCGCTACAGCCTCCAACCGGGGCCAGACGTTCTCTCACGACCGCACAGCAGGGCTTTGTTATTTTCAGCGTATCAACGTGCACGGTAATTTGCAGCGTATATATATTTTAAAAAAAGGGGGGGGAGGTTGACAAATGAAATAAACTGTCATAAACTTTCAGATGTTTTTGCTTGACTTTTTATGGTTATGAACTCTCAAGGTTGGTGGCGTTTACAATTGTGTGTTTATTGAACTCTGCTTTTCAGTGGTTTTTTTTCTTCGTTAAGACACCAGCAGACGTAAAAGCCATTCTTTCACGGCTGTCGCCCACCTCCGTCTCCTTCTCTCTCCCTCTCATCTCTTCCATCGGTCGTCACATGGCAGCTGACGACGAGGCTGGTCGAACATCTTCCCCCTTTCCTTGGGCCATGGTGGTCACTTCTTGTGCGCCTACGTTTTTTGCCTCTCTTTCAAGTACTCCTTTTGTACCGTCAGGCCACAACTGCTCCATCCACGTGGCAGTGCGAAGCCCCTGATGGTGATTTGTTGGCTTGATCGAAAACTGATTTCTTTAAAAATGTTACGTTTAGTTTGTTGTTCTTCCCCCGCACCTCCGATTAGCACGGTTGGCTACGTACGGTGCGAAAGTAGTTAAACGTACGTTGTTTACAAGTTTGGTGGCAGGGGTGGTGCAACGGTGTAACACTCGTGCCTAACAGCAAGAATGGCCCTGGGTTCAATTCCTGACCCTGCGCACCTTTCTGTACGGAGTTTGCGTATTTCTCCCCCTGTTCTCCCATAGAAAGAAAAAAAACACACAAACAATGTAACACGTGCTTGCAAATCACTCAAATTGGGATTTGAGTTATCGCCCCCCCCCCCCCGCCACTGGAAAAAACATCAGGACCGTCCTGGAAGAGAGTTGAGACTTTTGCGAGGCTTTTTTAGTGCAAAAAAACGTGATACAAAATAATGATAATACAACAAGAAGCCCGTGTCTTTTAAACTAAAAAAACTATTAAACTATTTTTTATTTTACCAGGTAAGGCCCACTGAGCTATACAGTATAGCTCTTTTTCAGAAACGACATGGCCACAAATGACAGCTCACCGAAGTGGCTTATCATGTGGAAATGTATAGCGGCCAAATGCTCCAAACGCACGTTTCTAAATGTGGAGGGAAAAACCGGAGGACACGGAGGATGATCCACACAATCACGGGGAGAGCGTCGCATCGTCAGGGTCTGGATCGAACCCAAGACCTTCTGTATACCAGGCGAGATAGTTAACATCTCGCCCCCGTGGCACCCCTTTGCTGCGTCAAGTGCGCCAAAGCCTCCCCTCCTTCGCCACCGTCGTAAACGGGCATCTCGTGCCCGCGTCGCCAAGGGCCATGAACGTCATCGGCCGCCGCAGCTGCCCGTGAGCGAGGGCGACACAAATAAAAACACCTTCTAATGAGGCGTGGGATCTACATTGGCCTCTCGCACACATTCATTAAACTGGTAGCCACGACAACAAATGGGGTTTTTTTTCCAGTACGGTAAATAAACAAACAGGGCTTTGTTTCGTCTACGTAAATAAAAACGTTTTAGTCCATCGGCCCGTGTGGATGGCCCTTAAGGACCAATGTTTTTCAGGAACGTTTAGCTTTAATCGGGCAAGAACCTTCCTTTGTTTTTGACTTTCTAAGTCTCATCAAAAAGAGTGCGGCCTGGGAAACATTGGTCCAGAAAGGCCATAGGCTGATGGAATAAAATGTAATTTTATTTCGCTGTGGTGAAATAAATCTAATGCCTGTTCATTTGTTATTTTACTCACAATCCACCGCAGCCGCTCGTGATCCATTTTGGGATTTTCGAGCTTTTCCTCTGCGTCCAACGCCCAGAAACATTCGTGCCATCGTGGGTCTTGACTGTGTTTTGGTAAAATCACAATCCGATATTCTGTTTTTTTCTTTTAAATCCTGTTGTCCAGTGGCATAGCGTGGATGTCATGGGCCCTGGTACAAGGAGTGAAATGGGGCCCCCTGTCTTAAGCCAATTGCCCTCTTTTTAATAGCCTGGCACCTGGGTCCATCCAGTCCATGGGCCTCGGTGCAGTTGCACCACCTGCACCCTCGACAGCTACACCACTGGTGTATTACTTTACTATAACGGAATCAATATTAATCAACGAATCTGTGTATTGTTACGTTCCTTCCCAAACGCCTCCCAACCCGCTACGCGGCCAACTCTGACCACCGCTAATTCGGCATCGTGCACGTGCCCCCCTGTGCCGCCCCCCCACCAGGAGACCCCAGCGGTGACATGGACGGGTGCAGCCCTTCCCCATCGCCGGTACCCAGCCCCGGCGAGTCGGTGCGCAGCCTCCCAGACCCCATCGTCCCGGCAACGGAGCCTATCTCCACGGCGACGGACAGCGCCACGCTCCCGGGCCGTGACGGTGGCGGTGGCGGCGGGCACGACGAGCAGCACGTCGGGCAGCCCCGGGGGCCTTCCTTCGGCCAATCGGCTCTCAGCATCCAGGAGCTGGTGGCGATCTCGCCAGAGTTGGACACGTACGCCATTACCAAGAAGGTCAAGGAGGTGCTGACAGACAACAACCTCGGTGAGGTTGGAGAGGAGGAGGAGGAGCGCGGGGCGAGCAACGCGGCACGGCAGCGAAAGCGCGACACGGAAATTAACGGGACACCCTTCGATGGTTCCGTCGCAGTAGAGGGTGTGCGACGTTCATCGTTCATTCGTAAACGTTTCCACGAAAGTAGATGGCAGCGTGTTGCCATTTTGCCAACCCGCCACTGACTAGTGTGGTGAAGTATGGCCAAACAAACCGCACGACGAGCCCCACGTCCGTGGGGAAGTCCTTGTCAAGCGGTGGGTTGACAAAAGGGCTGTCCACCTAGTTGTGACAGCCGGTTGAGTGGAGGTGCTACGATTTCCCGTGATTTGATGAATCGTCACAGTTCATGGTTGCGATTCAATTCACCGGTTGATTTTGTGAAAATAAATGTGGTGAGTGCAGTGGGCACAGAAGGCACGTGTAGCTGGATGGGTCGCATGAGCCTGATAAATACAACACGCACAAATCAGAAACAATCATGTATGCGAGATTCAAGGTATATATCATGAGCTTAAAGAATCGGTACGCATCGATGAGCTGATGCGTCATCATGCCTCTGCTGTTGTGACTAAGATTACAAAACAAAATGCATTATGCAGATAAAACTAAAATCTAAAGTTTAACTCGGCAATCTTAGGCTTAAAATGTAAACTAAGCTTTCAAGTAAGATTTAATGTTGGGACGAAGTGTTGAGATGGTCTAAAAGCATTTATATTCATACTGTCCACCCAATGAAACCAAGTATTCATTGAGTCTTGATTGGAAAGGAGTTCACTTCAGAACGTCAGGGAAACAATCGCAATCCGCGTACGAGGAGCGTTGTCGAGCGGTGTGGTGCATTGATTCGTGCGCTGCCCAACGAATCTTGCGGCCTGCCTCTCGATTGCCGGCCAATGGTGAACATCAGTGGTGAAAAAAATATCCCAACCATTCCTGGGCCCTTCACACACCTTTAAAAGCCATTTTAAACAGTTTTTTTAGTTTCACCAGGTAAGGCCCACTGAGCTGTATGGCTCTTTTTCAGAAGCGACCTAGCCACAAATGAAAGCTCAACGAAGTGGCTTATCACGTGGAAATGTATAGCGGCCAAATACTCGAAATGCACGTTGATTCTAAATGCAGAGGGAAAAACCGGAGGACCCGGAGAAGAATCCACGCAACCACGGGGAGAACATGCAAATTCCAAATATACAGACGTCAGGATTGAACCCACGACCTCCTGGATACCAGGCGAGGTAGTTAACATCTCGCCACCGTGGCGCCAGCACAGAGAAGTATGGTCACACAACCCCCCCCGTGACTGACGTAGCGCCGGGAGTCCTTTGTTAAGCGGGTGGATTAAGAACAAGAAAGGCTGCGAATAGCAGAGCACCGTGGTCGAGTGGACCGTTTGACAAACTTTGACATTTTACCATCGGAACATCGCAAAGGAATGTCGACACCAGCAGCGTCTCCGCGCACACCCCCGCACTTGATGGTGATGGGTTTTTTTTGTTTGTTAACCAACCAACCGTATCGCGACGTTGGCTTCCACGATGGGAACGAAGCGTGCCGGAGCGCGTGCGCCCGTGTGGACCGGACCGACGCAGCGGCTGCTAGCGGATCCCCAATACCCACGCGTCCCATTAAGGCAAACTACGCAGCGCAACGCGCGCCCGCGCCCAGGGCGGGAAGGCCGGGGAACGGGTGGAGGGGGGGGGGGGGGGGATACGGGGATGTTGGGTAACTCGCAAAAATGTGTGAGAAATTTAACGGAGGTGGCGACACCGGAGGGATGGCGGAATAGTTATGGCCTGCTTTGCGTGCCGTTTTCTTGTGGGCATACGCGGCGAGAGCGGCAGCTTGCGGCGTGAATATTTAGAGGCCGCACGTACAGATCCCAATGCAGTTTCGCTTACAGTGTAACAGCTTTTCACCAAGGGGGACGGCTCACGTGTGTTTTGTTTTGTTGGGAGCGGCGGTTGAATTGCCGCGCTATTTTGTACCCTGGAATGTGTCGGCGGTTTTGAAGGCAACCGTAAGACTGACACTGTGCCGAGCGCCTCTTAAGTTCTGGGTTGCCGCTTGCCTCGGGTGCTGATAGCCACGAGCAATCGCGTAAAAAAAAAACAGCCCTGTCATCAAAGTCCGACGTTTACACTTACTTCGGACACTCCCAGGGCTATTCCTGTCCGGTGACATCACTCACGATATCGATGGCTGTTTCCAGTGATGCCAACGACGCATTTCTCTTTGTTACAGATGCCCCGTTTTTGTGGTTAAAAAAAAAACACATGAAGTTATTTAACAGAATAACTGTTTTGCTTTAGAATTGTATTTTTGCACCTCGAAATGTAAATAGATTCAGCCAGTTGGAACATGCAGGCATGGGTCAACTGTTACAGGTTGTCAGCCTGGGGGTTTCTCTCTCCCGCGACATGGCAGGGCCCATATGACCACGAAGCTCACCACGACCGTCATCAACGTTGCCTCCTTCAGTCTGAAGGAGGACTGTTGTCTGAAACATCAGCCGATAGTTTCTCCATCGTAGTTTATTTATTTTATTTAACCACGTGAGAACTCAAGAGAACAGGATAGAGTCGCATTTGCAAGAGCGACCTGGGGGGGAGGGGGGGGACTTTTTCTGCCGTGTAGAATCCCGATTGAGTAATTTGCGCTGCAATTTCCAAATTTTGGCAAGCTTGCAAGTATTAACGATGGACGCAGTAAGTTTTTAGATTTGAATATGGATAGAGTTTTGGCGTAAATGGTTATACCGACATTACCGTTTATCGGCTGCCACACCTTCACACCTGGCTGGCTTTAGGAAAACAAAAGCGCCCGTGAGGCTCTCTCTTTATATAGCCGTGTTGACCTGCTGACCCCTCCGCCCCCCGTCCCCCTCCCTCACCCTTTGCCGCCGTCGCTCACCACAGGGCAGCGGCTGTTTGGCGAGAGCGTGCTGGGCCTGACGCAGGGCTCCGTGTCAGACCTGCTCGCCAGGCCCAAGCCCTGGCATAAGCTGAGCCTGAAGGGCCGCGAGCCGTTTGTGCGCATGCAGCTGTGGCTCAACGACCCGCACAGCGTGGAGCGGCTGCGGGACATGAAGCGCCTGGAGAAGAAAGGCAAGCGCAGCGCGGCCGATGAGACGTCGACCCGAGCCGCGGGCTGGGGTTTTCTCCGCGGAAGTGAGAGGCTCTGGGTTTCGGTGTTTAGGGGGAGAAGGGCGGAGCGGACACAGGAGGTCGGCGGTGGTCCTGCTCGTGTGTGGACGGTTCCAGTGATTGGGCGCCACGGAGGCGAGATGTTAACTACCCTCGTCTGGTATACAGGAGGTCGTGTGTTCGATCCCGACCCTGATACCTTTATATTTGGAGTTTGCGTGTCTCTCTCCCCGTGGTAGCGTGGATTTTTCTCCAGGTCCTCCGTTTTTTCCCTCGTGTAGAAACATGCTTTAAGAGTATTTGGCTGGAGCTTTATTTGAAGTATTTGGCTGCAATAAATTTCCACGTGATAAGCCACTTCATTGAGCTGTACTTTCTGATAGCCAGGTCGCTTCTGACAAAGAGCTATAAAGCTCAGTGGGCCTTACCTGGTAAAATATTTTGTTTTATGTTTGATTGATTGATCTAGTGCTGTCTGATTCACTCCAGTCGCTCGCTCACCGGAGGTCGCTCGCTCACTGGAGAGCAGCCACCTCCCCATCACTCTTCTATCGCTAACTACCCTAGTTTATATTCCCTGTGAACGTTGATCATTGATTCCTCCGTCCATATTGAGGACTGTCTACTAGAATGTCTCGTCTCATCCGTACCGCGCTCAAGCACCGTACTTGCAGGTCACGCACAGCGCTCTCTCTGTTCCCCACACTGCTTCACTTTGGAATTCCCTCCCATCGTCTCTTTTCTCACGTTCTTACAGCCTTGCTCGATCCCAGAAACGTATTGATTCTTATCTAGTATACCTTCCACGGTGCCGTTTGTTGCTGGCCGCTTGGAACTCTTGAGCCTGTGGTCGGTAAACGTAATTTGTAAAAAAGGCGCACCTTGAGGGCTTTATGTAAGTATGAATATTGAACTTCTTTCGCACCGTACGTAGCCAAACGTGCTAATCGGAGGTGTGGGGGAAGGACAACAAACTAAACACAAAACACAGTCTTAAAGAAGGGAGTTTTCAATCTAGATGATGATTTAAAAGTGCATAGCCTTCAGTGGCTTCCTAATATCGGAAGGAAGAGCACTCCAGACGGCCACAGAAGCGCATCCGAAAGCGCCGGGCGACGCAGTGACCACCGCCTTTGTTCGATGGCTTTAGCTGAATGCAAGGCGCTCCCACTGTCGCGTGCTCGACAGTGAGAGAGGAGAGCGGGGAGAGAGCGGAAGAGAGCGTGAGGGAGGAGGAGTGGTAGGCAGACGGTGGAGGGAGATGGAGAGAGCCAGACAGGAAGAGGGGGAGTGGGAGCGGTGTGTCGGTGCAGGATGAGGGGGTGGGTGGGGGGGTAGTGGTGTCTACAGGAAGGCAGGAGGCTCATTTATTTATTAAAACATTTTTTGTGCCAGGCAGCTGCTTTCAGATGAATAATGAACATGGACTTGCATTTTTTTTGCATCAAACCGCGTGTTATTTTTTCTACTTCTTCTAAACCGTGATTAACATCAACAAGAGTCTGAATGGAAATCGGCTCGCCTGGAATTTACCAAAGCAGTCTTGAAGTGTGGGGCCTTCCACGTGGCCAGCAGGCCGATAGCGCCACCGTGTGTTAGCTCGTCGGAATAGCAACGACCCCACTCATTCAACTGAGCACTCGAAAACATTCGCCACGTTTTAACCCCCCCCCACCACCAATCACCACCCACCCCGATCTCAAGCAGCACTTCATCCATCGTCGTTGTGTGTGTCCGTTTCATCATCGTTATCCATTAATGTCTCGCGGGGCCTTGATTTGTTTTGTTAATAATGATGACGGTGATTAGGTTGCGTTATAGACAGGTGTCCCTAATGGTTCCTGAGTTTTCTGTCTGTAAATCGCTACAGTAGATAGTGATCTTTTATAATGCCCATGGACTTGTAGTTAATATCGTTTATGTTAATGGCATGTGCCAATATTGTCAGCGTCACCGATATGCAATATTTACTATTTATTTTACCATGCACGCGTACAATTTAAATAATAAAAATTCAAGAGCAATTGCTGCATATATAAAAGGTTGAGTGGTGGGTGAGCACATTGCTATATAAGTTCGATTCCCAGACACGGTGCGGGGGGGGGGCTGTAGAGGGGGGAGTGGTGGTGTAGTGGTTAGCACACTCGACTACGACCCTGGCCACGTGAGTTTTTTTACCAAGCCGGAGCCATCGCCAGCGGCCAGCGGTATCTGAACCGGTCCTGGACCCCCACTTCACCAACCCGTATTGACCGGCGTGGTGAAGTATGGTCAAACATCTCCCATGGCTGACATAGTATGCGGAGGCCTTTATGCAGAAGTTAAAGGGCTGTAAATTACAGTTTTTCATGCAAGGCATGTGGAATTGTCTGGTGCAGAAAAGTGTAAGGCAATGCCACCTCAAGTGTCCCTCGATAACCGCTGCTTGGCAATGTTGAGATCGATGCAGCTCACGGCCACGTGCTTGTAAAGCGTAGACTCATGCCGCGCGTGCGTTTATCTTCCCTCGGACGGCGCTGGCGCCACAGCCTCCCTCAAGCGGCGCAGCGTGGGCGCGATGGACGTCGACGGCGCCCTGGTGCCGCCCCTGAGCCCCGCGCCGTCCGCCGGGAGCCCCGCGCCGTCGCTCGTCGGCTCGATCGGCGGCGGCGGCGGCAGCAGCAGCGGCGGCGGCGGCGGCGGCTGTGGCGGTGGCGGCGTCGTGGCTAAGAAGCCGCGTGTGGTGCTGGCGCCCGAGGAGAAGGAGGCGTTGAAGCGGGCCTACGAGCAGGAGCCGTACCCGTCGCAGCAGACCATCGAGGTGCTGGCGGCCCAGCTGCGTCTCCGCACCAGCACCGTCATCAACTGGTTCCACAACTACAGGTGGGGAGCTCCCTGCCAGGTCGGTGGCGGGGAAGAGGGGGAGAGGTGCGCTTGAGAATTGTACTTTGTCGTGGTTCAATCAAACCGATACAATATACAATCACCATCATCATCAACCGCTGTCAGTCAGCCGGATGAAGGCATCGCCTGGCCACCGCCGTCGTCTTTCGCGGTTTCCTGCGATGTAACGGTCTCGGTCAGTGCCCGCACACGAGCCACTTTCGTCGCTCCGTCTCCACGATCGAGGCGCTCGTGGGGGGCGCGCTCCATCCCTTCGCTGCTCCTTCGTTAGTCTCAACCATCGAGCAACGCGTCCTTGCCCGAGCCCACTTGCTTTTCTCAATGGTCAATACGATGCTTTTCACCCTACGTATGTTCCATAACCACAATTTTCAATGCAATATCGATGGTAAACTCGGCTCGCTTTGCAGGAGCCAAGGCGGGCCGTTGCGTCCCCTAGACTGTGAAAGATGGCGACAGCTTGGGAGGGCCTTCATCCAGCAGTAGATAGTTCACAGACGATGATGATAAATGCAACCACGTCTTGGAGGCTCTGTACAAAACAGTGGAACCTGCATCATGGTGTTGGGGGGGGGGTGAGTGACAAAAGCAGGCTATGTATATATCATTTTGGTGTGAGGACAGAGTCAGTCGTAGATAGAGGAGAAGAGAAGGGCTTGAGCCTGGTCTCGAACAGGGGCGGCAGAGTGTCACCAGCACGGATGATGGATGGGTGGATAGAGCTCTACACCACAGGGGTAGTGGAGGACAAGGAGTGGCCGCCCAGTGTGCGATGGTCGACTGTATGAAAGCGTACAAATGTGTGACAGTAATGGACGCGTCACGCAGCATCGTCACACGTGACAACGTTTCGATTCAAATAGAATTTAGTCTTTCGCTCATGATCCATGCGTACTCATTTCTGCTCGTAAGAACCAGTTATTTTCCATGCGTGAAAATGACGTGCATTTTTTTTTTGTTTTACGTTTGTGCTCATGGGACAAACAAAACTGCACAAACGAGAAGGCAAAAAAACAAAACGAGATTTTTTTGTTATTTTTTTATTCGGCAAAAAAATGGCTCTCCCGAATCATCACATTTCATCAAATCACCGAGGGAGGGGTGTGAATTGTTAGTCGGAGGCCACGCATCTCTGTGTACTACTCCTGGCCTCTGCTCTTCTGAAGCTTCCTTCTGTCTTGGGACAGCTCCATTTCTTGACGCCATCGATCGCTTTTTCTCTTCTTGTCGCCCCCTTGCTCACCTCCCGTCCGTCTTCACGCCGGCAAAGTGTTCTTGCAGACTTGTACGCGGAGACACTAACGCACGCGAACCGGCGGGTGGGGGCGCCGTGACCTCCCTACCAACCGATCTCGTGCGTCGTCCCGGGCGACACGGAGCTGAAGTCCTACAGTCATTCAAAACGCTCCGAAACGAAACAACACGCTCAGAATATTAACGTTTTCTTCTGCGTGTGTTATCCACTGCTGGATGAAGGCCTCCCCCTCCAAGCCGTTCCCAATACATTCTCATCGTGCTCCTGCGCACTGATTTCATCATTGCATCTCCACGATCGGCATTCTCTCCGGCGTGTTTTTCCTCCTTTGGCTGCCACTCAGTAACTCCCTCGCCTGGTATGCAGGAGGTCGTCGGTTCGATCGCGACCCTGACGCCTGTATAGTTGAAGTTTGCATATCCTCCCCGTGGTCGCATGGATTTTTCTCCAGGTTCCTCCGTTTTTTCCCTCCAAATTTAGAGAAACGTGCGTTTAGAGTATTTGGCTGCTGTAAATTTCCACATGATAGGCCACTTCGTTGAGCTATTATTTGTGGCCAGGTGACTTCTGAAAAAGAGATACATAGCTCAGTGGGGCCTTACGTGGTAAATAAAAAAAATCCACATTTCAAAGCCTTGGGAGTTTATTTTCCATCGCGCTCCCGTTTGTCATCTAGACTCTGCCGTGCACGATGTTCAGGCCGGACGAATGTAGCCACGCGTTGCGGTTAGTCATCCTGTCCAGCGTGAGGGGGAAATTACAACAAGGTGGCTGTCTGCCAGTGACAACAGCGATGATGTGAAATGAGTCCAAAAGGAAATCTCGGCTCAGCCGAAGGTATCTATTATTTTGATGTTATTGATGTTGACGCTTGTTTATTTGAGTGATTTGCCCACCTCGCTATCCAATGTGTTGTCCTGATTCGGGGTCAAATTTCAATTCGAGAATTGTTTGCTTTTTTGGCCACTGTGTCGCGTCGAGACTCTATAGAGCCTGCAAATATTAAGCCAATACCAAATAGGTACGTATCATCGTCGGCGTATCATCATCATCGGCGTATCATCAGCCATTATTTATCCACGGATATCTCAAAGCTTGAATATCGTTGATGTTTTCCTGCGTCTCTCAATGCAATTCCAAGAATCTGCGGTTTGCTGAACAAAGGCCCAAACTGCCAAGGAGCCAGGAACAAACAGCACGACTTGGAGGTGTTAATAGATAATGATGATCGTAATTCTTGAATATAGCAAGGTTGTTTGAACTTGACAAAAGAGATGATGGCATGGAGTTGAGGGAAGAAACAGAAAGAGAAATGTTGTGACCTGGACGTGGTGGTTGAATCCAGTGTGGATGATGCTAAACAATCTAAACCAAACTATTTTTTTTATTTTACCGGGTAAGGCCCACTGAGCTATATAGCTCATTTACAGAAACGACCTGGCCACAAACGATAGTTCAACAATGTGGCTTATCACGTGGAAATTTATAGCAGGCAAATACTCTAAATGCACGTTTCCAAATGTGGAGGGAATAAACCGGAGGACCCGGAGAAAAATCCACACGGCCACTGGGAGAACACGCAAACTCCAAATATACAGCAGCAAGCTTCATGGTCGGGATCGAACCCACGACCTCCTGCATACCAAACGAGGTAGTTAATATCTCGCCACCCTAACGCCCTAGTCAGTGTCTGGCAGACCAAGTCGTCAACACGGGTGCAGCAGTCGTTGAGTGAGGTTGACGGGAACATTATAATCCGCAAATAGTTATGGGACGGGCGTTAATGACAAAACTTTTTCCCTGTTGCCCGTATCGCCGCACAGGTCCCGCATTCGCCGCGAGCTCTTCATCGAGGAGATCCAGCAGGCGAGCCCAGGCCAGGAGCCCTCGTCAGCGTCGGGCAGCACGCGGGACGGCCCCGGCGAGGGAGAGGCCCCCAATCCCAGCAGGCCACAGAGCAGCCAGGGCCCTGAGTCGGAGAACGAGAGCGAGTCGTCAGGCGGCCGATGCCAGAGCGTGCTGTCGTTCAGCATATACGCGTCCACCACGCGGGGGCCCATCATTAAGCAGGAAGTGTCCGAGGAAGATGGAGTGGCGCAGCAACAGCAGCAGCAGCAACAGCAGCCACCTCAGCAGCCACCGTCATTGTGCTTTTCAGTCGACAGAATCGCTGGGGCGAGTCCCGTACTCCCACAGCTGTTTCAGCCGCAGCAGCAGCATCAACTTCAGGTGGGCGACGAAGCGAAAGGCCAGTCGGTAGAAAGGTCAAGTACTTTCTTCAGTGAGCTTCTGATGGCACGGGCGAACAACGCGGCTCTGCTCATGCACAGCCCCGAGATCGCCCACGCCTCCGCCAAGGCTGTCGTTCCGTTTGGCAATCCGGTCTCGTCGTCGTCTTCGTCGCCTTCGTCTGCGTCCTCACCAAAGCTGGAGGTAGGCGAGCTGGCCGCGAAGGAGGCTGCCGGCGGGAGCCGCTCCTTATCGCCGCCGCTGCCGCCGTTGCCACCGCTGCCACCACTACCACCACAATCTTCGACACCTGGGGCAACGGGAGATCGAGCGGGAACACCCGGGGCGGCTCCCAAGGCCGGGCCTTCGGGCTCTGGCTCCTCGCAGGGCCTCGCCCTGTCGCCGCCCTTGTCTGTGGCCGTCCAGGGATCCAGCCCGACCGCGCAGACGCCCGAGATCGTCATCGGCAAACCGAGGAAGGAAGGCCGGCGGCTACGGCGAGACGAAGTGAAGGCGGCCAATCTGAACAGCATCATCAACCGACTGGAAAAAGCGGCGAGCAAGGAAGACTCCCCCGACTGGGAATTTTAACTTTTGTTATTTTAAAATGACAATACTGCGAGGCCCCAGTGTCAGGCTGCGTTAAAAAAAAAACAATAAACCACCCCTACACAAAAGGAGAAGAGAAGTAAAACTACAAACGAGACAAGCAAGATGTAATGTAACAACCGAAGTAACAAAAATATAACCGCTGTGGAGAAAACTGCATACTACCTGAAAGTCAGTCCACCGTTGATTTGGCGAGGCCACATCTTCACAGAACGTGTGGTATATGGCGTCTGTAGGGTCACTCATTTTTATGGAAAATGCTGTGGTGCACTTAACGTTATAGTTGTGAGAGACAACATACTGCAGGAAATGACTTTGATCAGGACCTTTGAATCTTTGAATTTGTATTTTTAAACTGCTCCACACACAGGGGTGTGTGGAGTCCCTCTGAACTGGGGTCTTTTGAAGTGTACTGTTGAGAAGCTGGCATTTAGAAGCACTTAGTCAATGTAGTTCAACAATCACTTGTGAAAAGTAACATGGCCAAGCCATCTGTAACATAAATAATAACATTAATAATACCAAGGGTAATCTTATAGATACAGAGAAGGCAAACTGCCAAGAATCTTGTTAGATTTCTATCTTTGAAGTGTAAAAAGTTTTTATGGATTTATTTTTCCCCTTTATTCTCTAAAAGGGCCCATTGTTGCTTGGCATCAGGTTTGGTCACAATGCCACTCGCGTACAGAGGAGGCATTTCCTTTCCTTCCTTTTGTTAGTATTTATTTTATTTTTGAAGTTACGCATCATTGAACTAACACCACGAGATATTGTTTTAGTGCCTGTTTTTCTCACCCCACCTCTCCCCGTCTCCTCACAAGCACTTACCACTTATAGCACGTAAATCGCTATTGCGTAGGAATTAATACTGTACGTTAAACTATAAAGAGTTTGAATGAGAGAGGTGCTTTTTTATGCCTTGCGCTCAAGACATAATAAAGCTTAGGTTTTAAGCGCTAGTCAAACTGGCCACACGCCAATGCCCTCAGTGCCCTGTGTGCTTTGCTGGATTCCAATCGGGCCTAAGTTAGGCTTAAAGCCTGGCGCAAGAAGTGGAATTTGGAAGAAGACAATTTGGCCTAGAGCGATTATTTAAATTAACGCACCGTAAAAAATAAAATACCGTAAAAAGATAGAGAGAGAGAGAGAAGCGTCACTGTCATTCCTCAGGTCTACAGTGTCTCAAACAAACGTTTAGAAATCTACTGTATTTTTGAAGACGTCGTCTCAGTCAAAGGGTGTACGAAGCTTGAGATGAGGAGTTATTCTCTGGGATCTTCATTTGGACTGATTATTATTTTTCTCTCTCTTCATTTTTAGCAGCTGTATCTGAGCAGACTCCAGCGAGAAAATGTTTTAAAGCATCAGCCGATGAGATTTTTAAGAAGTCCGAAGGAAAAATGAAGCCACCAGGAAAATGCACTGTGCAGGAAGAGTGGACTCTAAAAAAATGAAGAAAAATGAGAATAGTGATAATGCTAATAATAAAATGTGTAAAAAAATAGTAAAAAAAACATTTTAAAAATGACAAAAAATTAATTCAGAAACTGGATTTTTAAATGCCAGGTTTAAATGTTTCTGTTAAAACAGATCTCCCTCTGCGTGTTTTTAAAACATAGTGCGGGGATTCTTTTTTTCTTATAATTGTACATTTGTTTAATGTGAACAAGACACTAATGTGCAATCGCGTGCAAGCGAGCGAGAGAGCGAGAGAGAAATACAACAGAGAAAAAAAAATCACCCGCTGAGGGTTTATCAAAAGTTTCACTGTATCGGGCGTGAGAGGCGGTTGGGGCAGGAGGGAATTACAACAAAAAAAACTACGCTCCCGGTCTCCTCTTGGATGAAAGCGGGGAGCTTTTGTACTCCGAGAAGCACGGACACACGCCACGGCCACTGGCAACCTGAAAGCACTTAAATGTCCTAACACTCCTTTACGTGCATTCTGGATCTCACCACAACAACAGCAGCAAACCGTGTCTGCTGCCAGGCCTAAAATCACTTGCCCTGGAGGAGGCACCGCATACTTTTTAGAAGTCCACACGATCTGTCTGTGAAGTTTTTTTTTTGCCCTTATTTTCCTCGTTATCCTCTTGCGTTATCATTCTTTATAAGTGTACGTCCTTGTTTTTAAAAAAAAAAAGCGACTCGGTTATTTGAAAGCCTCGTGTTACTGCTGACAATAATAACGATAACTAAGACAACAACAACAACGACGACGATGATGATGATAGTGCATCACCTCAGGCCTGATTTGAAAATAGCAAGAGAGTTGACAAACAAGAGAGCATAGAATGTCCCTTTACCTCATGGTGTGTGTTTGCGCTGGTCTGTTGCGTACGTATGGTTTTTATTCTATGTATGTAGCAGTTGCCCTCACTGCCGTTTGTTTTGCTGTCGACACGTTCGGTTTGGCTCAGCCTCACACGCTCCGCATGCCTCTTACCCCCCCCTTCTCTTTGTCCGTTTGCATCGAGCACTCGATACGCCACGCCAGGCGGACGTCGGTACCAGACCTGGGGAGAGGGGGGGGGGGCCATTGCCCTTGGCCCCATCGTCGCTTATCTCTCCACATTCGCCCCCCCCCCCCCTTCAACGTCTCTTCCAAAAGAATGTAAACTCTCGCACATGCCGGAGAAGTCCTGCCACGTTGCATCGATTCTGAAACCGAACCGAGCGAAGAAGGGTGCTGCCGTTGACCCGAGACCGTTTTATTTTTTACTTTATTTTTTGTTAAACCGGAAAAAAATGTTATTGGCTTCACGTACAAATTTTGGGACCTTCCTGGAAGTCTTGAAGCGAAGGTGGGACCCGTAGGTGCGCTGTTAGCAGGGCACTCTGTGGTTGGGAAAGGGAAGTGAAATAGGGCTACCCCCCATCCCTCCCTCATAATGTCCCTCTTCTAATGTAACCTGGCACCCGGGCCCAGCGGGCCCACGGGCCCAAGTGCGGTTAACTACGCCACTGTCTTGAAGGCTCTACGAATTGTCTCCCGTGGAAGGATTCCAAAAGAAGAGTGCTTTCACGACTTTATTTGTTTTCCCATCCCGAGTTGAGCAAAAAATGAACACGATGACATGCCTCAACCGCTCACTAGCGTGCTGGCGGTGTCAGTGGTTCGCATGCTTCCTTTTTGCAAGTCCTGCGCACAAAGTTAAAGCCTTTTTATTATCACTTGAACCTTTGTAACAAAATTTTGCCGGGGTCTTTTGTTCTTAGAACCATTGTTTTGTACACAATGTAGTAGAGATGGTAGGAATGTCGCTGGATTTCCAGCCCAATCGTTTATTCGTGCAACTTGGCAGGATTCGTCTGCTTAACATTTATGTACACAGCGCAACGCGCACAGAACCGTACGCTAAACTGGTCCCAACATTTTAAAATTAATTTTTAATTTTTTTAATGTGCTGGATTTTCTCGCCATGTGTCATGCGTGCACTCAAATGCCAGCCCCACTCCCCCCCCCCCCTCTGGACCTTTCCTTGTGCCCTCAGTGAGTATCTGTCACCACATGTACAACTTGCACTGTGTTATTTCAGTTTATTTTTCAATTTTTTCTGCGTTATGAGTTTTTTTGTATTCTGTATATTTATGTAACCACGGATATTTCCTCCTCAATTGTCTGACTCCCCACAGCCCAGGGTGACTTTTGCAGCATGACCCCGGTAGAGGTCAAAGGTCATAACAGAGTCGTCCTTTCCTTCCTCATGTTGTCACTGTTACGCTGCCGGGTACTGTTACAGTTCTGGTTAACAAAACTATTACAATAACTATACCTTTACAAGAATATTTTAGGTTTTGTACATTGTAATACACTGTGCAGTGACTGCTTCCCCTGCTGTTACTTTTCGGACATTTATAAAACTGTTATTATTTAGTCCAATCCATGAAGGCATCTTATCTCACACTGTATTGTATACCTCCGAAAGCACAATAGTCGTAGCCTATAGATAACTTATAGAGATTAAACAAAAAGAAAAAAAAACAAACCCGACATCTACATCTCCGTGTGCTTACTGCAAATGCGACTTTTTGTTTTCGAAACTGATAAGGAAATCCAAGCATCACCCCGACCACCGTGGGAGTCTTGAATAGTGTAAAATAAAACATGTATGCTTTATGTTGCACACAATTTTTTCAGAAGCGACCCGACTATTACTAATTATAGCTCAACGAAGTGGACGTATCACGTGGAGGGAAAAACCGGAGGACCGGGAGAAAAATCCACGCGACCACGGGGAGAGAGACACGCAAACTCCAAATATACAGCAGGCGTCAGGTTTGGGATCGAACCCACGACCTACATGCCAGGCTAGGTGGTTAACATCTCACCACTGTGGTATCACCACGAGCTAAAATCTTGCTACCCAATCCCACTGCGGTCAAAACAGAGAAGGATCAAGGGGTTTGGAATCCTACGATCGGCGATCACAATGGGAACGCGCAGTACTTGTACGATGCAGTGTACTGGAACGGTATCGAATTTGATTTGAGATTTAAGTAAAGTAACAAACGAAACAAAACCCCCAACCCGTGCAATGGCACAACTTGGCCGGCTAAAAACAAGACTCGCCGGTGGAGAGTGTGATATGCAAAGGAAAACATGCCCCTTTTCCCATCCCCAAGAGCACGGACATTATTTCTGAGGGAGCCCACATGGAAATGGCGTTTGTACCTGCGAACCCAAACGTCTTGCCACAGATCACAGGTGCCATCCTCGCCTATGAACTCGTCTGTGATAGGGCTACGCGCTCTCACTGGGTTTCCATTTAAGAAGTACGAGACGTAACTTTATTCAAGTGACAGTGTCACCCCCTGTTTGCAGAAGAATGTTTATTTATCCTGGAGGAATCCAATGAGCTTTTAAGCTCTTTTTCACAAATGTCCATTAAGGGTGGGTCAGAACGTTACAACGATACAAAAAACACGATAGGAGTGCAAAGTATAGGAAAGGTAAACAAATAACTTAAAATACAAATAAACTTTAAGCTGAGTCCTTTACCAATTAAAAAAACGGAATTGTTTTATATTCCAGCATTCGCTAATTGGCGTTGTTTACCATCGTGATTAATGCCTGCTTTTTTGCAGTAAGCGTATAAGACAAAGGTGTAGCCCAGAACTTGCTCGCCCGTGCCACTGCTGGGAGATGTTTCAAGTTTCATTTATTAGGTATAGCCCTATGAGCCATGCGGCTCTTAAGTCGGGTACAACCGCAACAAACAAAATTTGAACCCAGAACATTTTAAAGCGACAACGCGTAACAGAAACATCCTGGAATAAACCAGCAAATATTCCACACACAAAAAAATATATTAAAACGCTGTGTGCAAAACTCAACGTGGTGCAAGCCAACAACAACCATAAGACAATTTAGATGAACCATATGTTGTTGAATCACCAAAATAAAGCTATAAAACAATGTAACAACAGATGAAGGGACGCTGCACAAGAGGGGTGCTCCAGAGAGCTCCTCTGCAGGCTCTGTAGGCCTACTCTTCCACACCGGCCACATGTCCTGGTAGAGGTCAGAGTACCCACACGTGAATGTGTCATCCCGATTCGAAACACAATTGGATGAAATCCTCAATGGGTGGCTTATTTCGTCTTAAATTTTTATAAAACTGCACACTGAGCGCATTGAATTATGTAACGATATGAAGTGCACTTGCATTATTATCCTATTTCAAATTATGATGCATTGTTTGGATAGGAAAATCAATTTTATTGATCCTGTTGACTGTCCAAAGTGTGACATTTATTTGAATACAATAGCACCTATTCGAATTAAACAGTAAAATTGGAAACCTAGTACCGTATGTAATGGACGTGCTCAGAAAAATGTGCGTCGTCGGTGGAGAGAAAATAGTGGAGCAGGGATGGTTTAAAAATGCCCCCTTTTTGCCCATTTTTGAACCAACTCAATTTGGTTCTTCCGTTCCATTTTCGAGGACATCATCACTCGAGCATCAGAACTTATTTTAATATTTGAGTCTAGCGTCATGGACTGAGTCACAAATAAGAGGCTGATGCTGCTTTTTTTCTTCTGTCCCGCAAGCGACATTTCCCCCGTGACAAACACCTCACACCCCCCCGCCTGCTGGTAATCCTTCCAGGCATAGTTGCTGTCTGCTCGGGCAAGGTGAAACGAGAACGGGGAACAAACTTTGTACATAACCCCCATAACTCAAATATCGAAGCAACCAGCATTGAAACAGTGGTTGTGGGGTCGTGGAGCTATAGGTCATGTTTAGGCTACCCACATTACTCGAGGTACCGCTGACGTTTATTAAAAGAACTGCCAACATTGTTCTATATTTTTGGAGGGGGTTATTAAATGAGAAATAACTTTTTTAGGGTATTATAATGACCACCATTATGATTTCAGCAGTCGTAGGATTTACGTGCACCAATTTGCTTTTTTTTACCCCGATCCAAAAATACTACACACACTGACAAAGCGAGATAATCCACACTGGTTTGGGTCGTCATTTTAACTTGAGTTGTGTACCGTACACTCTGCGTTAAAGCTTTTGTCGTCACGTTGGACGAGACGGCTTCCCTTTATGCTCGCGGGCCTCAGACCTCCCGACTTCGATATTAGAGGTTGGGGGGGGGGGTGTTAGATCGCGTCAATATAATTGTGTCGTTAAACCCGCCACCACCCGACACACCCAATTAGTAATGTTTGTCACGTAAACAGAACGTGCCAATTCGTTACGAGTACAGCACACCGGTGATTCCTGATGCTAGTTGTAATTACTGGCGAAACGTCGTACTCTTGATTGTAAATGTTGTGGATTTGCTCTCCCCAACACACCGGTGTGTGTGCTGTTCTAGTAACGAATTGGCCACGTTCTGTTCACGTGACAAACCTTACTATTTGGCTGTGCCGAGTGGTGGCGGATTTAACGACACAACATTTATATACTTACGCGATCTAAGCCAAATAAAAAAAACCTATATTATGGATGATATTGGTCGCGAAAGTGTTAAACTTTCGACGTCTGCTTTTTTCCCCTTCCATTTAGAGACGGACACGTCTGAAAGAGTTGTCTACATTCCGTGTCCTCTCCGTCGCAGCATTTCCGAATATTTGTTTTTATATATATAATTAGCGAACGCTGGGATTTCTGCTTGTGTTTAAATAAGAAATGTCACGTCATTAGCACCTCGGACAATCATAATTAAGGTGTTATTAGCGAATCCTGATGGCTGCCGTAGCCTGTTAAATTATTCAATGAACATTAAAGATGAGTTTGAGATAAATAGTAAAAATACAGAACAGTGCAGCACTTAACATGGAATATCCAAAGTGGCCATAAAACACTCATTTAAATAATTCCACTGACTAGGCCTTTGTGTTATACAGTACTGCAGTGTAATGGTTTGTTAATGTAACCATAACAATATATGAATTATACTCAATACTTAAGCATTTTAAAGCCCCTCTTGTTTTTGAGTCTCAAGTATTCCCCACTAACAAAGCTTCCGGAACATAATTGACTGCATCAACGTTTGCTGGCTGGCGAAGGTACAATATTCGTGAAGCAATATATTTGTTACTCATGGTCAGGTATTTAAGGTGGATGGTGAGCCATGATCTCTCCGCCGCTGAAGGAACCCCCCCCCCTTATTAAGCTGTCACCATCGCTTCACGGCCCTGTGATGCAACAATCCGCCGAGCTTCTGCACATCTCCGTGGATGACGTCCTCCCTCGGATGACGTCCTCCCTCGCAGGCGTGTTCGGATGGATAAGTTCAGCACAATTTATTAGATCGATGGAAGAACGCACCACCAAGGGCAGTGACTGCTTTCCAACCGGTCTGGCGTGGCTGCTGGCGGTGGCGTCATGGACTTGTCTATGCATTCTGCAATGATTATCGTTTAAACGTTGAATCTTTGGTGGACGGTATTGCCATCGATGGGACGGACCGCTTGCGTCGAAGGTGAGTTGGTGTCTCTTGTCAACCGCACCAGGACGTCCCCTGCTGAATCACGGAAGTGCAAGACCGACATCGTCTCTGTAATTCACGTGTGGCCAGTCATTGTGATTATGCCACGGATTGATCAACATACACAATGCATCACACGCTAACCCACTAAACTTTTTTATTTTACCAGGTAAGGCCCACTGAACTATATAGGTGTTTTTCAGACGCGACCCGATAAAGCCACTTCTCAACGAAGTGGCTTATCACGTGTAAATTCATAGCAGCCAAATACTCTAAACGCACGTTTATAAATGTGGAGGGGGTACATCGGAGGACCCGATGAAAAATCCACGCGACCACGGGGAGAACACGCAAACTCCAAATATACAGCAGGCATCAGGGTCGGGATCGAACCTGCGACCTCCTGTACACCAGGCGAGATAGTTAACATCTCGCCACCTCAGAGCACGTGGGAGGCAGTGGGGACATTGTGAGAATGGGGTTGTCCTAGAATGGGGTTGCCCTGTGAAGGGCTTGGTTTAATCCGTAATTGTGTCATTGCCTGAAACACCACATATGCCTTTGCTTAAGACACCCGGTCTCAGATTCACACCGGGGCACGTAGTAATGAACTTTTACGGGGCTCCTTTGATGATACATTGTTGGTATTCGGTATGTGAACTAGTACAGCTCTTTTGTCAAACTCAGCCTCAATGAAGAACTCTCCCACGCTGTTGTTAATTGTTGGAGGCTTATTCGATGACATTTCACGGCTGGATATAGTGCAGGTTGCAGGCGGACAGCATACATGCGGGATCATACAGGTACAGTAAAACAATGGATTATTGTTTTCTTATACACCGACTCTTGTTCGTCACGATAGCCATCCAGCTATCCTGTAACAACCTGATGTGCATGGCGGTCACTCACCCAACCACTATTGAGGCTCAACCCTGCTTAAGATTCTAAGATCTGATGAGATTGGGAACTTTCCAGAGTACTGTATACTCTGTTTTGTATTGGCATGGAGAATTCTTTACCCCACGTGCAGTATTTGACTGT